TGAAATGTTGAAGTAGATGAGCGCTTTAATATAAATACTAGTGTAAACAGCGCATGACTTTCTTGGTTTGATAGTATTGAACCGAACAGAAGTCCTTGCCAGTTTATAGTCTCTAGGAAGCCATGGCAGCTCTTTTGAAAACTTTTTGACAATTTAAACATTCCGAGTTTAATTTCCGAGCGTTTCTGTGCTTGTAGGCTGATAAAATCCTAGCTGCAATATACAAAAAGTTGATCGCAACAGAAGCCCATGTCTAGATTTATAATTTTTAAAACAAAATAGAAGCCCAGTGGGCTTTTATTCTATGTGGGGGGGGTTTATAGCTAATAGATGAAAGAAATACTCTNTTCCGATACTTGAAATAGATTTGAAATCAATAGATGCCACTTGAAATCATCTGATATTACTCGAAATCAAAAAAACAGTTTATTTCCCTTCCGTGAGGTGGAGGGGCTGCATATTTAGTGATGCAATTCTTATTGCCTTCATGTACACAGATAAACACCGACACTTTCATGTTTTTATCTATACCCAGGAGAATCATTCCGACAGTAGGACCCTATCGGATTCCGAGAAGGGTCAGACAAACAGTGAATATATCGAATACCATATGTGTTTCAATAAAACCGATGAAACCTTATGGGATTCCTGGACACGGACCTACAGTCGGATCCAATATTGGATTTTAACGGAATCCAATTCTAACGAATCACCCTTGTGCTCTGATGGCTCGAAACGCTTATTTGATCGTGAATAAGAAAATGATTTTTTTCCGTCGGAACCGATAATAGATCCGTGTCCAGAAATCCTATTGGATTCTGTCAGAGAGTCGGATTCATTCACCTGGGTATACCTGGCCAAAATCATACTCTATATACTCTCTTAATATCATGCGTATGAAGAAAGTTCTACGAAAACCATATCCAAGGTTTATCACCAAATCTGTATCTTAACTTTCACGTTTGAATGCAGTCTTTCTCTGCATTTAATTCTCAGTCGAATTGTATATAACTTAACTTTTAAATTCTAGAAATTTTGAGACATACGTGATCAACCTGTGTCTACCATCACCACACATGAACATAAAATGTAACTCATAGCTGATTGAGCCTTGCAAAAATGACTGATAATAATAGCCTGTAAAAATATTTAAAAAATCAGCTGTAACGATTGTTGCTTTCTCTGATAAGTGAAATTAAACAGACACTAACGCCATGTCATTTGTGCTCAATTTCCGAGAAAAAAAATTCGATGCGTGTATTTTGATCATTCTAAGGTTAGCTGAGAAACTAAATACAGGGCGTGATAGGACAAAGACTGCTCTACGAAACATACGATGTCATTATGCCGAGCAATGTAGCCACTTTTACTTTTTAAGGACTAAGTTTGACCACTATCGTTTTTGTCTTGGATTTCATTATTACGTAAAAGTAACTTAGATTGTATGAACTAAAAATAATAATTTGTATACGGGAAAAAACTTCACAGTTTGGGGAACAAGAATATATAATTATAATTAATTTCGCTCCTGGTAATGCTGAAAATGTCATGTTTTTCCATTATTTTCACTTTTTGAATTTTCGACTTTTCAGCTCAACTTGCGACTCGCATATCTCTGTCACGAAACGCTCGTGAAAGCTGTTATTTTTACCATAAACACAACGTATCAATTTGTACAAGATAGTAACAGATTCCACTCAATTTTAAGAACCTTATGTTTTTGTGGGAAAAACGACGGGATAGATCTAAAATAAAAAATGTAATTTTAGTACTAAAATAAAACGCCTCACTTTAATTTAATATTAAAGAGTATGAGTGTGTGTGTGTATCAACCAAATTAATGGGTGCATACTCATACCCATGCACTCTAAACCGACGCTGTATGTATTTAATTCAACTGCTTCTATTTTAAATTCATTATAGATTGTAAAAATATTCATTCATTGAATCAATAAATCAAATCTATTCTAGTATTCAATACTTCCAATTTATTGATTAAAATGACCACCGCCACTACAACAACTGATAATCCTGACGCAAAAGTTGAGGAATCGGACGTTACTAGTTGGTGTGTTATCTGGCTTGACGATGATGCAAGCACTGCAAATAATCGAATACAAGAAGACCATTTACGTTCTATGGTTAACCATTTGGAGGTATTTCAAGATGTAGAATCATGCCGTAAATATATTAAATATATTCAAGAACGATCAAAAGCAGATAAACTAAGATTAATAGTTAGTGGTAAATTGGGACGACAGATTGTTCCTTCTATTCATAAATTAGAAGAAATCGCATCAATCTATGTGTATTGTCTCGATAAGCAAAGTCATATTCAATGGACTAAGCCATTTTTCAAAGTAAAATTATGCTCGATGGTTTCTTTTTTATTTTACGATCTTCCGTTAACAGGTAAAAGCTGTTATTGATAGTTTTGATCAATTGCTGTCTGAAATGAAAGCTGATCATAAAAATCCAACCAAACTACAAGATTCATTAATTTTTGACAGTTTTGACAAAACAACAGCCCACGTCAATGCTCAATTCGTTTACTTTCAAAGTTTGATTGATTGTTTTCTACGACTAAAATATAGTCAAGAAGATAGAAAGGAACTTCTCGACTACTGTAAAGACCAATATAAAGGTGACGAACGCAATGAGATTGATGACTTCGAAACGAATTATTCACCTGAACACGCTATAGAGTCGTACACACGGCCCTCATTCTTTTTCAGGGATATCAATAAAGCTTTTCGCACCAAGAATTTCCATAAAATATTTTTATTTCGCCCATACATCGCTGATATTCATCATCAATTAAATCAATTAAAAGAAAAGCAATCTAAGAATCCTTTAAAAGTTTATAGAGCACAACTTTTGTCGAAATCGGAGTTAAACCACTTGCAACGATGTCGTGGTAAACTTATTTCAGTGAATTCATTTTTTTCTACTAGTCTTAATAAAACAACCAGTCAAGAATTCAATAATGATAGCGTAACACAAGATTTGGAGCGAATACTATTTGAAATAGATGGCGATCCAAAAATGGCTACTACAAAGCCATTCGCCAACATCACAGATATTAGTTGCTTTCCTGATGAATCAGAAGTACTTTTTATGCTTGGCTCTATTTTTCGCTTGCAAAACAACCCTTTTGATCAAGATGGTACAGTATGGAACATCAGAATGACCTTATGCAGCGAACATGAGCATGATTTAAAAGATGTTCTTGAGCAATTGAAAAATGAATATGGCATTGGAGAAATAGATTATCGAATATTACGAAAACGGCTAGTCTCAATGCGTCAATACGATTTAGCTAGGCAATGCTATACTCGTTTCTTAAACGAACTTTCAGAACGTGATGCACAACGCGTTGAATTATATGAAGAACTTGCGCAACTGGAAACACAAGATCACGGCGATACGAGCAGTGTTGAATGGAAAAGAAAGGCGCTCGCATTCAAAGAGAAAAATCCTTTAACTTGTATACCCATTACTACCAATACAGAGACTACTTCTATTGGTAAGATCACTAGGAATACTTATTCTGTTTCCAAGTCAACATTCCATATAAAAACATGAGTTGCTGTTTTACTGGGTAAAACACAATCTAAGAGTGAGTATGGATGTGCTTCCTAAAGAATAGAAATGATACCTCCCAAGATCCCCAGCTGCCACGACATCCATATCATATCTCCACTCACACTACATGCCCATAATTCAGTCTTTTCATGGATAGTTTTCACCCGAAACAAATGAATTCGATTTTCGCATTTCATTCATAAAAAGACCACCATAACAACAGAGTTTCATCTCATCGATATCTGCAAATTTCAACGATCGCATGAAATCCTTATTTCACTTTTATAGTTATTCCCAATATGCCTGATCATTGATTTTGGGAAGAAGAAGGATACAGTGTTGCTGGAGGACACGGAGAAGGTGAAAACAAAAATCAACTCAAATATCCTGTAGGCCTCTGTATTGACGACGATGACGATGATCTAAACATAATTATTGCTGACCAATTCAATCATCGGATCATTCAATGCAAGAGAGGTAACACGGACGGAGAAGTTGTTGCTGGCGGAAATGGTGAAGGGAATGAATTGCATCAATTGAGTAGCCCAAGTGATGTGTTGATTGACAAGCAGTCGAATAGCCTCATGATTTGTGATCGAGGTAATCGACGTGTTGTTCAATGGCCTCGATGTAGGGGAACAACTGATCCAAAAGTTCTTATCAACGACATCGAATGTCGGGGTTTGGCGATGGATAATCAGCGAAATCTCAACGTATTCGACACTGAAAAACATGAAGTAAGACGCTATGATATACATCTGGGGGGCAAGCAAGGAGTTCGCGTTGCTGGCTGGAATGATAAAGGCCGTGCTATAAACCAACTCAACTATCCCACATTCATCTTTGTCGATCGACAGCAAAATCTCTACGTATCTGATAGCCACAACGATCGTGTCATGAGATGGAATAAAGGAGCCACAAAAGGCGTTGTAGTCCCTGGAGGAGAAGGCAACGGATATCCCGGAAGACAATTGTCGGATCCACGCGGAATCTTCGTCGATACATTAGATACCCTTTATGTCGCGGAAATGGTAAATAATCGTCTGACACGTTGGCCCCAAGAAGCAAATGAAGGTACTGTGATTGTAGGTGGACATGGTGAAGGAGAAAAAGCGAATCAGTTCAATGGTCCCAATGGCTTGTCCTTTGATAAACGTGGTCGCATCTATGTTGTGGATCACAACAATCATCGAATTCAAAGTTTTTCTCGTAAATAAAAACATTCATCATTCTGAATATTTATATGTATAGATTTCCACTATTATTTAAAAGAATCTTTCGACTTTTCTAGTTATTCCCAAAATACGCATTGATGAAGTGTGGGAAGAAAAAGGTTTCACTGTTGCTGGAGGACATGGAAAAGGCGACGCAAAAAATCAACTGAGGAAACCTTGGAGCTTCTGCATTGATGATGATGATCAAAAGATAATTATTGCTGATCAATCTAACGATCGCATCATCCAATTCAAGAGAGGTAACACATATGGAGAAGTTGTTGCTGGTGGAAACGGCAAAGGTGATCGAGTGGATCAATTGAATATCCCAAGCGATGTTCTGATTGACAAGCAGTCGAATAGTCTTCTGATTTGTGATCGAGGGAATCGGCGTGTTGTTCGATGGCCTCGGCATAGGGGCAAAACTGATCCAGAAATTCTCATCGACGAAGTTGACTGTCTCGGTTTAGCGATGGATAACGAGGGTAATCTCTATGTATCCGACGGTGGAAGACATGAAGTAAGACGATATGAAATACATCTGGGGGACAAGAAAGGAATTCGCGTGGCTGGCGGGAATGAAAAAGGCGATGATATGAGCCAACTAAACTATCCAACATGCATCTGTATCGATAGACAACAAAATCTCTACGTATCTGATAGCAAGAATCATCGTGTAATGAAATGGGAAAAGGGTGCAATAGAAGGGGTTGTTGTCGTTGGTGGAGAAGACAATGAATATTTCGGAATCTTCATAGATCCGTTGGGTACTCTCTATGTTGCAGAATTACAGAATGATTGTGTGACACGTTGGCCCGAAGGAGCAAAGGAAGGTACTGTGATTGCAGGTGGACATGGCGAAGGAAAAGAAGCGAATCAGTTCAATGGCCCCAGTGGTTTGTGCTTCGATAAGCGTGGTCACCTCTATGTTTTGGATTGTGGGAATCATCGAGTTCAACGTTTTTCACGGAAACAGAGGGGGCTGTCACTCACCGGGCTTTTGAAAGAAACAGTGCAAGTAGTTGTCCGACTTATCAATAATAGCGAATAAATTTGTCGATGCAGTGGGGAGATGAGCGACGATTCTATATTGTTGGAGGGTGTGGTGAGGATATGTGTGGGTTGGTGTTGGTGTTAGTATTCGTAGGCACAGGTTCTACTTCTTTACACCCGGAGGGAAAGAACAACAATAGGAGGGTGATTACTCAATTTCGGAATCGGACAGAAGTCTAGGAATGCGTTGGAGTTAGTAGGAACTGTTTCCCGTAATTCCAGTTACTAGAGAATAACGATTGTATTAGGAGTTCAGATTGTGGGACGTGACTTTGCAATGTTCAACATCGCGGAATAGGATGTATTCCCTTGAAATATCAGTGTTGCTTGTGCCAAGTCATCACCGATGAGTACACAAACAGAAGCGCATCAACATGACAGCAGTCTAAAAACGATAAATGTTTTGGGAATCATATATAAGGTTTCCGAGTTCGTCACTATATGAAACCTTTTAAAAGCTGCTGGGAAAAGGCACCCAAGCTATCGAAAAGCCTTAAAAGCAGTCAAAAAACGTACCTAGTCAATGAAACGTAGTAGAGGTTTCGGAGAACTCAAAAACTGAGGAAAGGTTACTGGCTACTACCGTCAAATGCGTGTGGGTATGGGTCAGTATTGACACCTGGTGAAGTCGAAAGAGCGGAAAACTGACCTTAAACAGCGGAAAAGGGTTCATGCTTAAAGAGATACTTTTTGCTCCGGTGAGATTTCAGTCGACATTTTTTATTTAATACATACCAATGTAAAGTTGCGTACAACTATTTTAAGTTTTCTGTAGCTATCTAATCTTTAGTGTAGGTTGTTTAAGTTTTCTATAATTGCTTAAACTTCTCTATAACTATTTAACCTTTTATGCAGCTTTTTAGCGAAATTTTCATGAAATCTACGTAAATATTCAAATGAAATTGTATAACAAAATGATGAATTCAATATGCTACTACGAAAAATTAAATGAATTAGAAAACAAAAAACAAAGCTACTTGAATCATTATGATATCAATTCCATTTGAATATTTACGTAGAATTCATGAAAATTTCGTTGAAAACAATTATTCTATTTTAATATGTAAGTATGTAAGATGACGTTTTCATTGTTTCTGATTGGAGACAAAGTCGATTAATGATAGTCATTGTATTTAACAAAACGTATTATCGTGACTCATCAAACAACGTGACAAAATACAAATATGTTCTTAGGACATGTTTTCTTTTATTTTTTTTCTCTGCGTATCGATTTAAAAAACGATATATATTTGTATCAAGCGCTACTGTTTTATCTAACACGTTAGTTGCCATTTCTGTTTGTTTAAAAAAAAAAGAATATGCTTCTTCGAGCTAATCAACACAAACAAATGGCATGGAAGAATGGAGGTGGAGTTACCAGCGAAATTGCTCGTGCACCAAACAATGAACAAGAAGATTTTGATTGGCGATTAAGTATTGCTCAAGTGAAATCTCCGGGTGGTGCATTTTCTGTATTTCCTGGTATTGATCGAACTCTATGTGTCGTCAGTCCAAATGAACTATATCTGACACTCGAAGGTAGCAGTGATAATATAATTCATCTCAATCAAAATTCGTTGCCTTATTCATTTGCTGGTGAATCATTAATTACTTGTCAGATTCAAAGTGAAACATTGACCGATTTCAATGTGATGACTCGACGAACTAAATTTCGGCATGATGTTGAACATATCAAAATGGAATTAAAACAAGAAAAAAAGATCAATACATTGGCTTGCAACGAAGCAATCATATTTATTATTGTTGGTCAAGGACAAGTAGTGACAAATGATGGCATTCAAATGGTAATTGGTGATGCTCTTCAAATCGATCAGCAACATTCGTCTGATATAAAGATTTCTGCTCAGGCTGAAAACACTCAGTTGTATATTGTTCGACTTAATCCTATTCTTTCATAAGAAAACGCAGAATAAAAACATTTGGAAATCAGAGTAAAAGATTAGTTTTTACATAGAAAATATTCATTTATTGTTGAATGTTCTTTATTGATTTATTCTGGCAGACATCTTCGTGAATAAATTTTTAACAAAATCTGATAAGATTGTATGAGAGTCATGTCTGCGTATATACTCAATTTGTAATGGTTGTTGTAAATTTTTGTTACTTCGCAAATAGTAGTAGTAATGTGACACCTATCAATGAGCTATTTTAATGGCTTTTCGGTATGAACTAATCATCGTTCTCCTCTTTCCTACAGTTAAACAACAGAGATTCCTAAACTTTTCAACAAAATCCTAACAATTTCGTCGTTCTGTTATTCCTAAATGGATATAAAAAAGCGTTTCTTATTTCTTGGTCCAACTGGAGTGGGTAAATCTTCATTGGTCAACATTCTCTGTAATGATGATGCCAGAAAAGAATCCATGAATGAACCAGCCAAAGTCGGTTCGACGACAGATAGTGTTACAAAATGTTTTACTACTTATTATGACCATAATAAGTATGCTTATACAGACTCTATTGGTTTTGGTGATAATCAATTCACAACAGATGAAATAGTTGCAATGGTTAAACAACTAATTGATAATGCTATTATTGGTTATAATAAAATTTATTTATGTATGCAATATGGACGAATTTCTATTGATATTTGGCGATATCTAGATTTAATTAATTCTGTTTTCGGTGATAGTGGCTTGAAATGGTGTACAATTATTTTTACACATTGCAACGAAGAAGAAATGAGCGTTGAAAAGTTTTTACATCTTAATAAAAACGACGAGAAAATTATAAAACTTATTGATAAAGTCGGAAATGTGATATTTGGTGATCTTCAATCTCATAGCAATCCACACGTCGATACTCTATTAAAAGATATACGGAAACGCTTGCTAGATCAAATTAAACTAGATGGTTCGCAATCAAGTCAATTTTATTATTTACCAGTACCAAAAGATCCTAGCTCTTTGGTATCCACAATATGTGATGCTGTCAAAAATTTCAAGCCAATAAAAATACCAATGGAAGATATATTAGCATACATGAAATCGATAACAATCATAAAAGTAGATAATACACACTATTATGGTGAATGCAGTGTATGTTTAGGGCTAATGTATCATACAAACAGTGAAATTACTACATGTGGCCATGTGTTTCATAAAAGATGTATCGCCGACTGGTTTTACCACAATCGCACATGTCCGCAATGCAGAGAGTCTTGCGGATTACAGAAACTGTTAGCTTGGCTTCCATCTCAATTGTCGGTGGAACGCCCCAAAGAACAGGCCAAACGCTAAAAACTTCATCTAAAATTTATTATAATTTTTTCGTATATTACACAAAATCAATTCAACATAATTTCGAAGCAAACGTTTTCAAGCACTGGCGGCCATGGTAGCCAATAATCACCGCAGATCGAATTGTATTCGTGCTCAAACTTTGTACAAAAAGATTCATCGACTAATTAGCAACGAAAATATTTGAAAATACATACAATACCCTTTCTATTCACATAATTTAGAACTCGAAGGATTCTTCGAAACTTCTTTTTGCGCTGTTCAAGTTCAGTTTATAAAAATTCATGATTCAACATTCTTTCAAATATCTCAATAAGATAGTGTGAGGAATCGAGAGCAAATATCAAAGAAAATTTCTTGCTTTTTAGCACAGCTCACAGAAATTGTCAAAATTAATTTTATGAAATTTTGTTTTCAATCAAGTATCGATATCTTTAACTCAAATATGTCTCAAGAAGATATTATAATTTAGCTCACAAGTATATATGAATCATACATTGATGGAACTCGTAAATATCTGCGTAACCATAACTGTTTTCATGGGTTTCTTGGTGGCAAATTTGTATTGGTAACAGACATTCTAATATTTTTCCAGCCAAATTTTTACTGCTAGAGTGAACCTCTTTTCTAGGGGATACATTCTGTGAAGCGTTTTTGTGTTATTTGTTTCTACCCATGGAACCATATCGCTATTGTGAACACGAGTATCTTCATATTTTTTCAACATTACTACAACATAGTATAAAGAGTGCCGTTTGAGTACCTATTTTATTTCAATTGTTTTCACTTAAAAAGATAAAATGTTAAATAAATTATAAATGAATTAGATTATCGAAAAATTTCGATGGATTTCATGTTCATTTGGTTAAGATCTCCATCACATCTGACGAGAGTGATAGTTCTGTCTATTCTAATGTGTAACTCAGATAGGCAAATGTCAATGCTGATATTCATTCAATTGCAATCAAACAGCTTTGCTTTAGCTATTTGTAAATCATGAATCGAGAACTTGCTGTCGTCGGGTGCGAAACAAAAACAGCAAATCAAAAGTTAATATTCGGTCTATGATGCATGGGCTAAAGCGAACTTTCTAGTTTATCATGTTTCTATACTTCGATGAACAGAAGTTTTAATAATATTATAGAAACTCGAAAAGAGAATGAATTTTATTTCAGAGATGATGGAAAATATATTTCATCAAATAGACGAAACTTATAATTAGATATGTGTAGCATAAAGCATTGCATTAATTCGCCATGTAATTCGATTGAATAAATTTTTTTAGCTGTTCAATAAGTCAACGGTAAAAAATGTAGCTACGACATTTTACATTCATTATCATAATTAGTAAGAAATTTTCTACTGCATTCGCTATTCTCTAATTAGTGTTTTTGTCGTGGTTTTCTCTCTATGCAATCTAGTTTTGCTCAATATTAATAAAATATAGTAGTCTTTCTATAATAATCTACGAAAATACCGTTTGCCTCCTTTCTTTCACAAAACATCTCATTTGTATCAACAACCAAACCAAGTTTGCTCTCATCCAGTTTAGAAATACAAAGGTAGAAGGTAAATCATTGCTATCCGATCTATTTGGATCTAATGACATTTCTTTAACTCAACCATCTGTACCATAAAGATGACATACAAGATATGTCTTGAATTCTTATTTTTTTGTCAACGAAGCATATTTCTCAACATATAACATGAAACTCTACCCGCTCAACTTCTACACTGAATAAAATTCAAATTTTACATGCTAAGATAATAATAAAAATATATGCCATTCAACTTGCTCGAATACGAATGATCGCACATATTCATGAATTACTCTGAGTATCCTTATGTGTTCTTATTTCTTTTTTAAATGTTCTTGAATGTTTACATCTGATATTGATGATCCATCTGTAGGATAGAAATTGAGTTTTCGTAAATCATAGTGAAATAATGTATTTTGGCCAAGTTCCTTTTAACTAAATTTTCTATTTTAGTTCAATTAAAATTTGCAAACATCTGCGTGACAATTTTCTATCTCTCACAATGATTTTCTCTGTAAAATTGATCATAATATTTATGTCGGCTATTGAAATAGTAGCGGCTGTTATTACAGGTCCAACTGTTCTGCCGTTTTCAAGGACGAAATAAACAAACTACACCATGCAATACGAAGATCTTTACTGTTTACCAAATATTAACAACTATTTATTTTCTAGATCAAATGACAACAAGTGGAAGCACTTCACTAAGTGCAACAACAAGTAACAGTAGCTATAGAAGATTTTTAGAAGTCAATATCAAAGTATTTCCTTCGCTATTAGTATTGATATATTTACAAAATAGAAAATATTTTAGGATCACTTGACTTAAAGAAGATTACTCTCTTCAAATGAACTAACGAGACACAAAGAATCTAAATACGTCGAATTCAACATTTGTTTTTTATTTCTATTAAATATTTATCGTTTTTATAGGCATATCAACAAGTTCAATGATGAATACTACAACCAATCAAATAAGCACCACATAACTTACTACTATTCTGAGTAGCGTTACAACTGCATCGACTATCAGCACGGTGAATGCTACGAGCATAGTAACCACCACCCAAGCAATTATTGCAACCGCAACTAAGATTATCATACTAAATTTAGTTCGTTTAAATAAATGCTCCTCTCAGTTATGAATTATCGTCATGATGAAGCCAGCAATTCCTTTCTGATTTGTGTGTATTGAACATGGCAATACTACAAAGCTTTCCGATGACATATGCATTCTAATGAATTTTCCATGTATAATTTCAATCTATAACATTCTGTTTTGATAAAATCTCTTAGATATTACAATGGCAGTAGAGTATCATTTACAAGAAGCACAATTGATTAACAAAATAACTACTGGTCCGTTTTAGTGTGAAGGAACAAAATACTGTAACTGTTGGTCCTAAAAAATTGTATCGAAAGTGATAATGAGATGTCATTTTCTGATAATAGAGAGCAAGCATTTAGAAGATGTTGCCACGTTTTGTACTAGTCTAAAGATCATATTCGCAATTATGCATATAGTTTCGATTGAAGACTTAATGATTCATTATAATCGAGCGCATCCATTTTGAAACTATCTGCAAGACTGTATCGTTTTCCACCAAAGAGAGTCATTTTTCCAGCTTTTGGATAAAAAAGAGGCTTACCGAATTTGGTTAACTTTGATAAAAGCTTTGATTCTCCTTCTTTTTTGTTTTTCTAATAGGTAATGACTCATTGGTGTAATCGATGTATTCATCAGCTTTGACCATAAATAGTCAAAGATAGAAGAGAGTGATGACTATGGTAGTAGCGCTGATATCTTTTTGACGGTAGCTCTTCAGCGAAACATACGATATATTCTAGTTTCAACAACATATTCTGTAAGCGTTTCCGGACCATTTTCAATCATCTCAACAGGTCTGACACCAATCGTCTTTAACCTAATCAGCAATGAATCAGGTAAGAAGTTGATGGGTTTCGACTGAGTTATTCGTTCAAATAAAGTAGCTATGGAAATATTATTCTATATATTTAGTAAGTCGAGGGCGTGCGTGTTCTTCTCATTCATATAAACATTCACAACGAAATAGGATATAATATATCACTAGCAAGTAATTTCGATTCGTATGAATATCTCTACAATAATATTTTCAATTCATCTGCTCGAATGGCAAATATGCTCCAGACGAATGATGATCGGGCTGGTAGTTCACAGTTCTTTCTATCTGATTTGATTGATATTCTAGCCAGATACATTGTGGTAGCGACCACATATTCTGCAAGTATAACAGGCTCATTTATGGTCAATATATTTGGTCCGAACTACGTTAATTTCACAGCCGTGTAAACACAGTAACTATGGGGCTTAAACATTCAACTCGTTTTGATTGTGATTAATAGATACATATTTTCTGTAATTATTTCCAATTTATCATTACTACAAATGATTTCTGCTTAAATGTCTCTCTCATGCTTCTTTTTTGTTTTATTGGGACGCATATTAAGATTTTCGGTGTCAGATATAATCTTCATTTTAATATCAATAGATGTTTGTATGAAAATAAATATTTCAATACCTGTTATTTTTATTTTGATAGTACTGCAGAATGTCTGTCTGTCTGTCTGTCAGACTATAAAATTGGGACGAAGATATCATATTGAAAATGTCGAATAAAACAACATACCGCTGGTTGGACTCGAGTGTATTTACTCAGAGAAGTCTTGTAATAATCACCTTCCGAGCCTTTCGTTCATAAAGAAGTAGGATCGTTTTTCTGCTTTCTCCAAACTCTCGCTGATATGTTTTCTTCATCTATTTTAATATTGTGTTCGAAATTCCTATAAGATTGTTCACATATTTGAACATCAACCGTTAAAATTGGCAACTTCAATTAACATGCTCACAACAATCATTGGTAGGATTCGCAGTAATTGACTATCTTGTTGTGCCAACCATGCCAGGAGTATTCAAACTTGAAATTCGCTGATTTATCTTTTTTTGCTATTCGCAGGAGTATTTTTCGTGTAAAATCAATAATGCTATTTTCATCCTATCTTGTATTTTTTATGACGATGAAAAATGAGATCTTTACGGTGTATAAAGCTGGTAATTTATATGATTTTATCAAGAAGTGTGAAAAATATTTTCAAGCCTGAACATTATTTAGTAGTTCATTCCGTGAAGGATGGTTTCGTATATTTCAGTTGTTCGGTGAATAGAATTTCAACCGTGCTAACATCTGATAATCAAGATTTTCCTTATACTTATACAGATTCTAATGGTGTCATTATCGTATGTTTTAGCCTTCTATTACACGCAAATAATTCTTGCTGCGTAGCTGTGTATACCTGTAAAAAATAGACTACGGCAATATGCAAAACTACCACGTGAGATCTTTGTATTTGCACATCAAATATTTGAAAATTTCACAGAAAATTCAGTTCTTGATAACTAAGCACGTCTTATGTAAGAACTGCAATGACCAAAGGAAGTTTGTTGTGTCGGTAGAAGCATATCTATTCGTGAGCCTGAAAAAAAGATGCACATATGGTATATTCTATTAATAATAAATTTTCTTTTTATACGTACACATGCCGTTTCAATGGTATAAAAATACATGTTTGACAGGTACGAATATATGAATATATTCCTTTGTCTTTACATTATAAGATTAATGAATATCCATATGCGCGAGATGTATGGTGTTGCCTTTCTATTACTTTTTCTTTCATACTGCAGTAGCTATGCGATAATATGTATGCATCGTACTTTGCTGATATGTTTAGGTAGGGATTCTTGTTGACGCCGATAAACATTAACAGGTGAGGTTTCACTTTTCCACGTGTTTCATTTTAATTGCATTGTCGCATAGCTTCTTTTTCCCTTGGATTTTATTCATTGAGTAGCAACTGATAGGTAACGATACTGAGTTTTGCGACTTTTGGTCAAGTATTAATTCAAATTCGATAGAAAATATGGCCAGTAACAATAATATAGAAGCACTCATAGGTACATGGGAACATGTTAGTAGGCTCATTTTGTATTTCGCATTAGAATCATATTGTCGTTCGCAACATTATTTTTCAGGTTCGAACTGAAAATTTAGATGGATTTTTGAAAGAAGTAGGCGTTCCAATGCCTATTCGAATGTTGGCTAAGCGTTCGAGTCCACGTATTATTATCAGTGAAGACAACGGCACCTGGACTATACGTACTGAAACACTTATTAAAAATATGACGACTCGTTTTACACCCGGTGTCGAATTTCAAGATACAACTCCCGATGGAAGTGAAGTACAGGTATTCTGCTTGTTTTATTACTATTTCTACTTTGATCTGAAGACTTCTTTTTTTTTTGTCGAATTTTCTTTATTTTACAGACAACTATTTGCTTCGAAAATGGAAAATGGTTGCAAACAGTACGAGACAAAAAAAATAAAGAAACAAAGGTAACACGTTCTATTGACGAGCAAGGATTACACCAACTTGTAAGTGATTCATTATGTCTCTCATTTTTCTTAAACATTTGATTTTAGACAATGACATGCGGTGATGTCACAGCTCATCGTTGGTTCAAGCGGACAGAATAAAATATGTCAATGTCCTCATCTTCAATCTTAATCTTTTTTGCTTGCTATCTTTATATGCATTTAAATTTCAAAGTTGTCTTCACTTCTAACACTATTTATTCAATAATATACTTATTAACTAATATGAATCAATTCTCAGTTGATACCGAAGAAGACCTTTTTTTTTCTTCTTACCATAGTTATACTGCTCAAAACAATTGATTCTGAAATATTGTTGTTGCATTTAAATCAAAACAAAGTGTAGTCATAGTTGTTTCCGATGATAGATTCATTATGTCTCAAATACTAACTAATAATAATCAATCTTTGTGTAAATACAAAAACTAAATGCTTCGACGGCAGTTGTCCGCATAAATCAAAACACAGCTAGAAGAAACCACAATGAATACAGACCGACATCTTTTTTTCTATTGATACTCGATTGTTGACAGCACTGTTAGACGTTCAGATACGGATAAATTATAGGATGATTTCGTTCACCTGCAATTGAAATATTGTTCAGACTTCGATATTCCAGTTACATTCACAATCGAGTCGATGATGTTTTCTTTTGTTGGAAACATGTAGATTTTGAATAGCTGAATTATACTCTGATATAATTGTGATGCAGACGACCGAAACTTAGCGAAAGTGGATTCCGTCGAGGGTGTGAATATAAGTAATTGCAAATGATTTTTATTTCGCTAATCATTCTCATAATAAAGCTAATACAGATTATTCGAATTTTATTTACTTTATAAACCAAACAGAAAAAATAGTAGGATATTATTGAAGCGAAAGTACATGTTTTGTACCTTTTTTACACTCCTGTACGGCGTGTGTATTCCGTTGGTCATATGTATGTCTTATGATAGAATAAGCACGCGAGAGGAGAGTAACGTATTGATCAAACTTATTATATATAACGCAAGCAAATGCCAGTAATCATCAAGCGTGAAAATTTATTCGTGGTGCAGTGTGAATATAAAAAAAGCAGCTAACTACGTATACTTGTTTTTATTACTCATCTTATACACCTTGAAGTATGTTGCTCACTGATATACTTCTGATATTTCTCGTGACACTGATATTCGTGTACTTTTTGGTCTTGAATTCTCGCTATTTGTATTTTAAACAACGTGGCATTCCAAGTCCTCCACATCATTTTTTCTTCGGTCATTACAAGTCCATTTGGTCGAGTCCTCTGTTAACTCATCAATTTCAAAAATGGACTCAACAGTTCGGTTCGATCTATGGCTTATTTGAAGGTACACGTCCATTATATGTTGTTTCCGATGTTGAATTTCTTCAAGAAGTATTCATTAAGCAATTTTCATCGTTTCATTCGCGACGTCTACCATTCATTCTTCAAAAGTCAGCCGGGAATAAAGTTCATCTATTGAGTGCCGATGGAGTGAAATGGCATCGTCAACGACATATTATTAATCCGGCATTTACGTCGGGTAAACTCAAATTGATGACTTTCAAAGTTCATGAATGTGTCGATTCGTTGATCAACAAATTAGCTGAACATTGCGATCAACAATTTAATATCTATCTTCTCTACAAACGATTGACGATGGATGTAATTTGTGAGTGAACTTCTTTTATTTAACTGCGGCAATTTTAGTTTCGATTTAAAACAAAATAGGTCGCTGTGCATTTGGAGTTATCACAGATATGCAGAACGATATTGAAAATGAATATTTTGCGAAATCTGAAGGATGTGTAGCAGAAAATCTAGAAGGAAATCTTTTGATTCGATTGGGACATTTGATGCCGTGGCTTATTCCGTTTCTCACTTATATTATGATTGGACAAGTTCTATTCAAACGTCTAATGCATAAGTTCATACCGAGTATTGAAGAAATGCCTCGATTTTGGCTCATAGAACGTGTACGATATTTAGCTGATATGCGTATATCATCCTCTCTCAAGAGTGAAACAAAACATCAAACCGATTTACTTCAATTAATGCTTGATGCTGCCACACGAGACCACACCAAGGTAAGTTCATTGTCTTCTATGAAAATATTAGAATTGAAATTTCTAGGATAACATGTCGAAACTACTTCATTTCGATGAAGTGATCACTAATATATATTTATTCATGATTGCTGGCTATGAAACAACATCGACAGCACTGGCCTATTCGACTTATATTTTGGCTAAAGAACCTCTGATTCAACAGAAACTTCAACATGAAATTGATCAATGCCCGGAAACTGATAATGAATATGACCGTGTTCACAATATGATTTATCTCGATTGGTTTGTACGTGAAGTTTTACGAATGTTTCCCATTGCACCACAAGCCATGTCAAGAGAATGTAATACAACTACGGTTGTTTGTGGTCATTCTGTTGAGCGAGGTAAGCTAACTATGTACTTACATATTATTAATAGTACTCTCTCACGAGTTCTGTAAAGGTAGTGTTATTCAACCAGATGTGTTGACTATTCATTATGATCCTGACTTATGGGGTCCAGAAGATCCAAAAATATTCTTTCCAGAACGACATTCAGTACCAAGACATCCAATGGCTTTCATGCCGTTTGGTCTTGGTCCACGTAGTTGTATTGGAAAACGATTTGCTTTGATGGAAATGAAAATGTGCCTTGCACGTCTACTGCAACACTATTCAATCTATCCTGGCGACCACATGGAAGAAAAATTCAAGCTCAAAGACACTCTACTTATTTTACAACCAGAAAATGTCTATGTGGAAATTAAAAAACGTTCATTATAAATAAGTTTTTTCGCACTTATACCATCTTTATTTATCTATAAAAATGTTCAGTAAATTAATTCTCATATGAAAATTAATTTGATTGAATGAATCGCTTTTTGTGTGCTAGTTATAGGGTTAATCAATAAAAACATTTATTCAGGTGATACTGCTGTTGAATGAACATAAAATAACTGTTGGATTACGCGAGATTTTCGTTTTTCTTGTCGAATTCTTTCCAAATCGTCACGTGTTGGATCAATACCGAAACAATATTTCAATATATCCATGATGACAATAAACATAACAACAATTGACAGCGCAATAATAGCAATATAAGAAAATGATTTCGAAATAGTTTGAAAAATAATAATTTTCGTAGACGTGATTTCACAATGACGACCAGAATAACTATCACCAAGACATTCACACGTATAATTCAATACTATTGATCGGCAAACACCATGATTTTCGCATGCAGTATGGTTGCAATTATCTATCCTTGATTGACAGTGAATTCCAGTCCAACCATCATGACACAAACAAAGAAATGATGAATCAGACGTTTCGTTACATTCTCCTACAACGAAATAACAACTATTCATTGGTTAATAGTGAATTACGAAGATGTGTAATTACCATGGTCGAGACAAGTTTGTGGTTTGCAAGGTCGATGATCGAAATCACAATGACTACCATTGAAACCACGTGAACATAAACAATTATAACCATTGATGTCTGTGGGATTTCGTTCACATATACCGTTGTTTTGACAGGGTTTCAACAGATCACATGGACTATTAGACACGTTACAGTTGACACCGATCTGTGAATTATTACAGATTTGTGTTGGAAAAAATGGTGGTTGTGTTTCCCCTAAGGAGTATATTAAAATCAAGTCAACAGTTTAAAATAATCAGCGTTATTTAACTCGATGATGTTTCAAGGGCATTCATCAAAACTTAAATCAAGCCTATGAGAAATTAACAGCATACTAAGAATCGTTGACATCATTATAATAAATTTAGAGTAGTGTTCTGAAACTAACTTCAACGGTCTCATATCCAGTTGACAATATGAAAAATATTTTTTTTATCAAGAAATCAATGACACATAGCTACGTAGGAATAATTGCTGTTTAGCACAAATACCGTTACAGTCATGTTTCTATCTAATATGTACTGTTGTTCTCTAAAGCACATCAACATCTGTTTTCAGAAGTTGAAATGCAAGTCTTTTATCGTGTATAGAATACTCAAGAACGAAAACGTATCGCATTGAAACAACATTAAATGTGACTACACTGATCAAAGAACTCAATCATAACAAAAAAACACATACAGTATCATTCATTGAAAGGTTTTCTTTAAACTAACATTTATTGTATTTCCAGTATTATTCAATGCTTTGACTGTATTTCGATGCGATTTGTCAGAAGATCATGATGATTGTATCTTCTATACTAAATCGATACAAATGATAACAACCCAGTGTAGAGTATTTCGAAAAAAAAATGGTATAACTCAGGCAGAATAATTATATACAACGAGTGAAAAATCGTGTTTCAATTCCTACTCCTCGACAACATGAATTTGTGTACGAATATGATTGAAGTTGCTACCTCTTGATCCATTCGAGACCGCAAATACTTTCATGTGATATTATTTCATGATTCACTCTAAAAGGATGTAAACCTATTCTCTTTATAAGAACATTTCAGAAGAGGTGACACATTCATTCACAAAAACATGCAAACAATAAGAAAATCACAAAAAAATTGCATAAATACAAAGTTCTTCCCCAAATCCTTACTTTGCTGCGATTTGGTAGTTGGCATTGTTGTACTTGAGGTTAACCTATTGGATTCTGTTCTACGTATCGTCGGCGTAGAGGTTCCTATAGTTGTAGCTGCTACACTTATAGTTGTTAAATTGCTGCTTACAAAAGCAGTTAGTCGTACATTCGTACCTGTCCCTGTGGCAGTTGTTATCGTTGTTTCAATTGAGGTTGCTGTTGTTGTCTGAGTTGTAGTAGTAACAGTAGCAGTGCTCACCTTTTTTGCGGTTGTTATTGTTACTGCTGTAACTACATCAGTAATAGCAACAGTCGTAGCTGTTGCTCCATTGTTAATAGTACTACTCATTGTGACTGCCATTTCTACAGTTTCGTTCGTCACGTCTGTAGTTGTTGTTGTTTCAGGGATAGTACTAGTAGTCACAATTATAATTGCGGTTGTGGTTGGACCTAATGCTTCGGTCGTACTTATTTCAGTTGTTCCTATTGACATTGCTGTTGTTTCAGTTAAAGTTATTGCTGCAGTTATGCTTTCAGTTGGAGTCGTGCTTATTCTGCGCGTTCCCGTCTCAATTATAGTTACTGACGTTGAGTTTGTTATTGCCTCTGTGGGTATAGCTTCAGTGAATAATTCAATCGTAGTTGTTGCAGTCGTTAAGTTTGCCTCTGTAGCTGTTGCAGTTGTTAACACTGGTGTTGCAGTTACTGATCTTCCTTCTGTAGTCGTTATAGTTACTTTCATTGTCGCTGATGTTGTCTCTGTATTTGGTGTAGTTTTTGTCATTGTGATTGTCTCTCTCGGTGTTGCAATTATTGAGATTGTTGGTGTCTCGCTAGTCGTTGTTTCACTTGATATTTCAATCAATAATGTTGTAATGGTCAATGTTGTCGTTATGGAGCTTGTAGCTGCTACTTTAGGAGTTGATATAAATTCTGTAGTCGCTGTAGCTGCTGGTGTAGCAGCCGAAGTTTTCATTGTACCGGTTGCATAGCCTGAGGTTGTTGCTGTCCTAGTTGTAGCTCTTCCTGTAGTGGCTGAGATTGTTTCTGTATTGCTTGATACTATTGGAGTAGTATTCTTACTTGTTGTTCTTGTAGTGGTTCCGGTTGTTTCAGTCCCAGTTGTCATTGTTGCTGCCGTGGTTGCGATTGTTTGTATCGTAGTCGTAGCTATTGCTATAGTATTCTTAGTTGTTGTTGTAGTAGTTGATGTTGTTTCTGTCGTAGTTGTAGTTGTTTCTGTTGTGGTTGAGGTTGTACCGGTCGTAGTTGCAGTTGTTAATGTTGTGGTTGAGGATGTTTCGGTCGTAGTTGTACTTGTTTCTGTTGTGGTTGAGGTTATTTCGGTCGTTGTTGTTGTTGTTGCTGTAGTAGTAGAAGTTGTTGTTGTAATAGTTGTAGCTGTTACTGTACTAGTCGAAGTTGTTGTTGTAGTAGTTGAGGTTGTTTCTGTCGTAGTTGTAGTTGTTACCGTTGTGGTTGAGGATGTTTCTGTCATAGTTGTACTTGTTATTGTTGTGGTTGTGGTTGAGGTTGTTCCGGTCTTAGCTGTAATTGTTACTGTAGTGGTTGAGTTTGTTTCCGTCGTTGTCGTAGCTGTTGCTGTAATATTTCTATTTGTTGCTATAGCGCTCGAGGTTGCTTCTGTCGTTCTGGTAGTTTGTATTGTAGCTGCTGACGTTGTTTCGCTCTTAGTTGTAGTTGATACTTTACTTGTTGAGGTTATCTCTGTAATGATTGGGGTTGTTGATGGTGTAGTTGCACGTGTTATTGTAGTCGTGGTAGTTGTTGGCGTCGAAGTTGTTGTTGTTGCCACTGGGGATGTGGTAGGCTGTATGGTTGTTGTGCTTATGTTTGTGGCTGCTAAAATTTCTTCATTTTCATGTTCTGAAATGAAATACAAAATTAATTGGATGTTTTAAAAAAACAATGAATGCAAACATTGTTGTGAAAATATGTCATGAGTATGTTATATAGTTATCGTGTTTGTTTTTAGGTGCGGGCTTCTATCTGTAGAAAGCTGATGTAGAGATGATCTCGTTATACGTCTCGTTGATAGAAGCAATAAGCGATTAAACATGGCACTGGTATTCGCTGAGGGAATGGTTCATTGGTTTTTGGATGGATTACAGATTGATATGATTACGGAGATAATAATTAAAATGCAACCTAATTCATGTTTAGCTAAAATTGGTTTTTAGTCTGTATTATTAACTACTGACGATTTTTCTTGTCGTAGTCGTTCTTCTAGTTTGCTCATCATCCATAATCAGATTTAAGTGAATATCTTCAGCATTTCAAGTGAAACAATTAAAATAGCGTGCTGTTGTATGACTGATATTGGTAGAGGTAAGTAAGCAAAGGTAAAGACTAGGGCTTTCACTTTTGTTTACAGGAGGAAATAAAATAGCTGTGACAGCGTTGCACTTATTTACACTTTTGACGATATGTAGTATACTAGAATCAAGTGGTATCGAATGGTTAGATTTCTATTCAAAATAAGCTATGTTTAGAATTATCGAAGTATATAATCATGTTTTTTAAAACTGCTTGAAATAAAGTTTTGTATACTTCAAGGGCGCATAGTAGTTAATTACGGAGTCTGTCTTAATTTGTTGAAATGTTCTATCTTTATGTTAAGATTTTTTGAATTATACTTACCACAGGAATTGGGTTTTATAGTAAACTTTTGTACCCGATAATTGGGTTCATCTGCAACAAATAAGTTCCCATGACTGTCGAAACGAAGAGCGTATGGCTTGATTAATGAGCTAGATGTTGATCGTTGGTTGCCATTGCAGCCTACTACGCATTGATAGCCATCTTCGTTCGAGCGAATAACTCGATTATTTCCGTTGTCAGCTATGAACAAATCGCCATCCGCATCAAGTACAACATCTGTAGGGTACCTTAATTCAAGAGAATTTGGAGCTCCCGTGCCTGCAATTGTTGTTCCTTTTTTCTGTCCTGGTTTAAAAAGTTGGATTCTGTTGTTATTATTGTCGGCCACATACAAGTACATATGTGTGTCAACGGATATTCCTAATGGCTTGGAAAGCTTCTCTGTTATGGTTTCTGTTTTTTTGGAGTCGTCGTTCAGTGATTTTTTCTGAACTTTTTTGTTTTCATACATGGAACAATAGAGAGTATTTTGTGTGTCAATAAACAGTCCATAACAGTGATCGTCAAATTTTGCTGATGTAGACTGCGATGAATTCTGTGACCACTTGTGAATCTCACCTTTCGTGTTGAATTTCTCAAAATAAACTTCACGGTTTGTGCTAATGAAAATAGTGCTGGTTTTGGACAAGGATACAAATTCATGCGTTGAATTAGTACCATTTTCAAAGAAAATAAAAATTCGACTTTTATCATTTGAAGCCACATACAGAGTATTGTTAGTATCAACAAAAATACCTGGAGTACTTTTACCAATCACTGTTTGATTGACAACAGTAACGCCAGTTTGGTCCCATGTTGCATTTGGACAGATTTCTGGTTGGTTATAGGAAACTATATAGGAGAAATGCAAAAGCATACAAAGTTTAGTCTAAATAATGATTAAAATAATTCCAGTTGAGGGCGTACCACATGATCCATCCAATCTATGACGAACTCATTTCGAACAACTTATTCTTAAAATAATATACAGTCGTCAAGATCTGCATGATTCTCATCTGGTTCGAAAACACTTACAGTAATTTATTTCTCGCACGGATAGCTTTCCATACATTGAACGTGGTGATCATACGACAAAGATATTTATTTTTCGCGTGATACTTGAAGAAGAAGTAAAGTGAATGAAACTGCATTCATATGATAAATAATGTTTAAACTGCGATCGGTAGCAATGTTTAGGTTTTCTGTAAGAACTTCAATGTTATCCAGATAGTTTTCAGTAGCTGCCTTAAAGAATTTTTTCATTGAGAACTATCTGTAATTCTTTATCGACCATAGTTTATGAAAAGAAAAGGCCGGCTGTCGATATGAACCTTTGCTTCGGTAAAATTCGAACACCCACCCATACCTTTTAGTCTTCTCTCATGGAATTTTCTTTTTTTAAACGATTAATAATTATTAAACAAAAAGCATATATTCAATGACAGATCACTAATTAGCGTATTAAACATCCAACATGATCTGAAACTCAGGCTGCTCCAGTATTCTGGAAACTTTAGCTTCACTTTCATCTGTGAAAAAGGATACAAATAAATGATTCATTGAACATCTTTTCAAATGAGGATTTCCCCTAAAGTAGCAAGAAACCATCGGCTGATTCTTCAAACTTAGTTTTATTATGACAATTTTTTATAGTAAGATAATGTTTTCTCTTTTTGAATTAATTATTAAATAGCAAACCAAGTAGAAGGAGAAGAGTTTCGTTTTATTGAAGTCATCCTCATAAAAAAAGTATAATTATGAACACCAGTCAAAACGAAAAAAGGAATCTTCAAACATGTAAGATTTTTGACAATAGAAAAATATAACTTTTATAAAAGAATAATAGTTCATGACTAGTTTCAATATTGGATGAAATTAAATTGTAAATATTTCCTTTCGAACCTCCTTCTCATCGTATATTTGAAATACTCAGATGAATCGAGAGTGAGGCATTTCTTGAAGCTCCGTTTTCATTTTGATTACTTTTATATTCTCTTGAGAACACACTTGTGTGCTAGATAACCTATAATCAAGCAATCGACCTATGAACTAGTGAGTGACTAATAGTAAAATGCTAAGTTTGACGTCCCAGATGAGCTGTAATTGAGATATAGATACTCTTGTGAAAAGAAGAAACTAGAACATACTAATTGAAAGAAGTATTTCTGTAGAAAGCTTTCATACACATTCAAAGCAGAAGCTATTGAAAGTTTCAAATGCAAAGCTGTAGCTAATATTATTGGCGCTCTATATTCTGGTGTTAATAGTGTATCACCAGTAGTAAAATCTAGAAAAGCATGTTTGTAAAAATCAATTGAGTTTCGACTTCAGAGTCTTATCGAGATATGTTACTGAATTTCTCTATAAATATCATAGGAGTGGGGAATGTTATGATTTCGATGCTATAAAGGTTTTGATGTTGAACTGAAATAATTATTTCGCCGGAAATGTTTAAGAGGAAGAAACATGAATAGAGTATGAAAATAATATCATGACCAATTGAATTCGTTTTCTAGCAACCTCTATCAATTGAAGATGTACACAGATAAGAATATTATATTAAATTCAACTATTTGATATTCTAAACAAAATATTTGAGTCTAGAAAATTGGAAATTACGATCTTTGAAACTACCTCGTAAGTAAATAGAGCATAAAAATTGGCAATTAAACGAAACATACGTTTCAATTTTTTAGAATAAAGCTCTTCTTCTATTGTAAAAATAAATATAATACTAGCACTATTAACTTCGAATTATGCTACTTATAAAAGTCTATATCTACACTATTGTAGAAAACGCAAAAGTGGCAATTATGAAGTTATATTCAGACAATCCATTGTCGAAGCTTTGGTATACAAACAAATAAATACTATCTGAACGAATTTAAAAGGAGGAAGCATCGTTATATCCTCTTTGTAAATTAATTATAAGATATTAAATCTAACTTTGGTCAGGTTTTTATTACATGTTATCACATTGCTGTAGTTATTCAAAGAACGAAAAAGGAATTACCCAGTTTAAGGGAAGAACAGTTAGACTCCTATTAAAAGCAATAACAGACCAAAGAAAAGAGTACACGGTGTCATAGGCGGCGGAGTCATTAGGCTACGGGCGGCTCAAGCCTCCCCTAAAAAACAAATGGGGAGGCTTGGAGAGGCTCAGTTATTTGAAAAAAAATCCTGATGTCATCGTAATTCTATATTTGATAAGTGAAAGCGGTTAGAAAATCGATGCTATTTTTTCTCCGAAGCAATGTTCAGTTCAGTTCGAGGATATATATGTTGCATGTTTTTGCAATATTTTCATTTATTAATGCTAGCGCCTCCTCTATGAAGATGAAGGGGAATAGTGAACGGCATTATCTAAGATCAACAATGACCAGGGTTGTCGATTGTTTTTGACAAGTAGTGAGGGCTAAAAATTTCGCAGAAAATCTGAAAATTTTAACAGAAAATCTCGTCTCGCTTTTAGACAGTAACTGAGGAAATAATGGTGAATTTTTCGACTTTCTGCGATATTTTGTTGAAAAAAAGTGGTTTATTTCTTTTTTTTTCAGAAAAATGGGGAAAAATGCTTACAGGCCGGGTTTTCGCAGAAAGAATTCAAAATTTTCGCAGTAAATTTTCGCATATTTTCAATTTTTGGGGGACTAGCCCCATGCTCGGCAAACCTGGCAATGATACAAGAGCGCTTTAATCATGTGCTTATCCCTCATGTTCATAAAGAAAGATTAGATCAGTTAGACTTGAACAGTAGTCGTTCTGATTTTATTGCAAAAAATCAGAGTAGAAAAGCCTTTTTTGGACGTGAATAATAGTTTTTGTACTTATGAATTTTTTATTTGCTTTAGTCAAGGTTTAAGATTTTTGATGCTTATGTTGATAATGAAATAAAAATTTTGATACTGTAGTAGAATTCTCGATTGCTGTGAAGGTGTGCAAATGAGTCAGTGAAGAAAATGTTTTGAATGAAGGTTATAACCAAGAAATTTAAAAGTCTGTTTTCTCCCTCTAATGTCGACTTTCTGTCGTTGTTTTTCAAAAACATTTTGAGCCTCCCCTAAATTAGAAACGTTCCGTCGCCTATGCACGGTGTACTGAATCACTTAAGGGTAAAAGAAGCCGTGGTATCGTGTCTATAGAACACTAAAATTACTTACTTGGAAGCGCGGGAACAGAACGGTTAGCTGAACAAATACGTAACTTGATGTCGTCAACAGCTAAATAATAGTTTTTTTTCCCTTCATGTTTTGAATCCAAAAATAGTTCGGCTGCACCAGTTTGCGCTACAAATGAAAGACCATATTTTTCCCAAGTCATATTTTCGTATGCACTTATATCGTCTGTCTTTTTTTCTACAATTTTACTTTTCTTGCTTTCCGGCGTTTCTTTAACTCGAAATTTGATATTTATTTTACCATCATAATGTTCCTCTTTCATAACGTTTGCCAAGTACGCGGAGAATTCATAACGTAAACCGACGCAAAGATTATGGACTTCGTACTTGAAAATACATTTGTCTTCTTTTCCCACATTAACAAGAAACATATATCCATCAGTATCATCTGTTGTATAGTCAGACGCTCCAGAGTGCCATTCATTTGCAACAGGAACTTTGTTTACAAGCGCAAATTTATCACTTGTTATCTGATCTTTAAACGATTGTGTATAACTTGTTGTAAAATTGAGCTCCTCAGCTGTTTTATTGGAATATGTTTGATTACCAGAACCAAATGTAATCAAGAGAATTGATTGACTGCTAGTACTATCACCGTCTGTGCATAAACCAGTTTTTTCTATAGAAATAAAAAAAGTAAAATCCTCAGAGCTGAGCACAGGTTAAAATTCTAGAAAAGCTATGACATACTAGGTGTACACAAGGAACCAATGAATCCTTTTGGGCATTTTTTATAAATGTTTTCACTATATGTTTCGTTGTTCTTGCAGTCAAGAATTTGTGTAACTAAAGAGACAATATAATCTCTAGATCGATTGTATATTTAAAAAAAAGAAAACTTTATAACCGTATGAATGCGGTAGACAAAGGGCAATTTTTTTTCAAATTTTTTTGCATGCAAGATTCAAAACAACACACGACTAATACCAATTCCCTTGAATACTCAATGATAATTCATTTTAAATTCATCTAGTAAAACAAATTTTGAGTACCATTGTGAGTGAAATTCCAAATTAAAACCCATTTCTACTAGATTGTAGACGCATAAAGAGGCTGACCTGTAATCATATATGCGCGAATGTTTATTCACACATAATCTACGTACCATTCTAAACAATTATCAGCACTTCATTAAGTACCAATACAACTCAATGAGCATTATAAGCCTTATAAATGACTTCTTATTTTATCTCATTTTCTCTGATATTTACGAGACTCACTCAGATCTTTAACTTTTCAAAATAAAAGAGATAAATGATTTATAATAACAATCTAATATGAGATTTGTATTTGAATATGCAATACAATTAAATGAAAAATAGAACTTATTGAGATCACAAAATCATAATCGACCACGAGATTAGAGATGTTTTTTTTGAAGCATTTACCTGATATTCCAGTGATAATCAGAACAAACAATAATGATGCCAACAAAATATAATTCGATGGCATCTCTTTTACTATTGTAATTAACAGTTTGTCAATTGATGTCAATATTCGAAAGAAGAAACCATATGATTATTTCCATCTTCAATAAATTAGTATTCTACTAGTTGCGAGAAATAAAAAAATGAAGGTATAAATGAATTCTTCCTAATATTTTCTTTTTTCTTTCTTGTCTCAGCACCGTTTTCACTCATTGCATTCTCTTCTCTCCCCACGAGCATTTTTTAATTGATATAATATACTATATAAATGAAGAAACAGTTGAAAACGATCTTCTTTGAAATTTAAAACTCTTTTCATCTCGTGAGATTTCAAAAATCATGATCATCTAACAACACCATAAGTCCACTAATGATGAAATAAAAGCATGAATGTGAACTAATTTCAAAACCTAGGTTTTTTCCATTATTACAAATTATATGTCTCCATTGGTTTCGAATGTGACGTTAATTGTTATGCTTATCATACCCTTTAGATCAGGAAAACCTTTAATCGATAGTTCTTTTTTAATGATTTACTTTTCCGATATCAAACAAAGATCAAATCTTTACTATATTTCCTCACAGCGAGATTTCTTAGATGATTTTGTAAATGCATGATCTAGAAGAAGTATTGAAGTCAATGGAGTGAAAAATCTGTATTCTGTCTTATTCGCTATAGACCATGAGAGATGATGTTTATATAGATGTGTAGATTGTATATGGAGTGTGATCCGCTAAAACTGTTGATTCAATTGCGATGCAACATTTAATTGATCTTGCCGTAAGTTGGATTCAATAGCACAATCTCATTCTTGAAAAGAAAAACTAAGAGTCTGTTATAGAACAAACATGAATCACCAACGAATCAATCCATATCGATTAATTAGCAACTTAAATTAAGTTTTGGTACTTTTAATAATAGTTTTAAAATATATTTCTATCATTCAGTCGTTGACACGATAAAGCAAATTTCCTCGTGTTTATATCTATATTCTTTGTAATAAAGAAGTCTATATGTAACAATACCAATCGGACGTGATTTTTGAAAAGTCATTGAAAACAAAATATTAGTTACAAATGTCAACATTATATTGGCACCAATGATAATTGCACGCATCAGTTTTTTGTATCAACATTTACTCTCATACATATACTTTCTATTCTATCATTTATTATTGTTTGAGCCCCGAGCTTCTCTTGCTCATAAGCGCGTGATGTTCTTAGTTAACTACAAATAGATCTTTATCGAAATATAGACGATGAGAGATTGCTTTGAAAACTAGCAACTGGCTTTTAATGAAATTCTTTATTGGTATTTTGTTTAATGTAGGAATATGTTTATCATCCGCTCCTTATGTAAAAGAATAATGCGGCGGTGAGAATAGCGAACATTGAGATCAAGAGGTAACAATGATACAGTATCTAGTTGGCTGAATTAATATATTATTTGATTGACTCTCTTGACATTCTTGATCTGTTTTCACGATAAAATTGTTGTCTCAACTGGATTATTTCATACTGTCTGATGTTAAAGTTTAAATGATTCTGTTCAATTTCCTGTTTAATGCAACTATTGCATATAAAGTGCAGATGTGTTGATTACAGCCGTTATAGCAAGAACACTGAATTTATCGATCAATATTTTTTTTCTCTTCAAAACAAGAATTTCCAAAATCAAAAGTTAAAATATAAAAACCATTGTACTATAATTCTCTCACTCTGAAAAGTAACAACATCTCTTCGCTTGAACTTGTAACTAGATGAAAGATCGTATGATAAGGTGACTCGAACTAAACGAATTAGAACTAACTATGCGACATAAATCCAATTGGAATTTGTTCGAAATAATTGATTACGAAAACGTTCTCGCGTATAAAATTTGACCGTATTTTATTCGCGAAATTTAATGACTACCGCGCATTCATAGTTGCAGACAAAATTGTATGGAAATGAAAGACAACAGCTTGTTTGTTTTTATCAGTTTTGATTATTACAAAGCATAAATTAAAACTTATCAATGTATAATTATCATCGATAGTTATGTCTTCGATTGACGATATCATTTATCTAGTTGCTGATGCTGGCGCATCGGTATAAACCAACCGTTGTGTTGTACGAGATTGTCATTTTTCTCCTTGGATTCTTTCCAAATCGTCACGTGCTGCATCAATACCAAAACAATATTTCAAAATGTCCATGATCACTATAAACAGCGACACTTATCATAGCAATAATAGCAATATAAGCAAATGATTTTGAAACAATTTTGAAAATAGTAGTTTTCATCGAAGTGATTTCACAATGACGACCAGAATAACTATCATCAAGATATTCACATGTATAATTCAATACTATTGATGGGCAAACACCATCATTTTCGCATGCAGTATGGTTGCAAGTATCTATCATTGGTTGACAGTGAATTCCAGTTCAACCATCATGACACAAGCAGAAAAATGATAAATCAGGTGTTTCGTGACATTCTCCTAAAACGAAATAAAAGCTATTCTTTGGTTGATAATGGATTACGAAGATATGTAATTACCATGACCCAGACAAGTTTGCGGTTTGCAAGGTCGATGATTGAATACACAATGAGTCCCATTGAAACCACGTGAACATAAACAATTATAACCATTGATATCATTCTAATTTACTATACATGACCCATCATTTCCGCAAGGTTTTTTCAAGTCACATAAACTATTAGAAATATTGCAATCGATGCCAGTCGCTGATGCATTTTCACAAGAAGCTGGTTTAATTAATAGCAGTGATGATGATCCTAGAATTGATAGAACAATCCAACCAAATAATAGAAACACGACAAAAATAAACAAATTTGTTCCTGTTTCAATCACATAGGAAAAACAACCAACTTATCAGGGTAACATCTGTGAACCTAAAACGTGAAGGTCCCACATATTCTGTAGCTTTATTATACTAATAGAAAATGCGATAAGTAAACAACATCTAGCAGACTACTTTTGTTATTCAAGTAGAATCCATCATCTGAGGAACATGTTTATTTGCTTGTGAATGTTAAAACGATGGCTTCTTTGCGCTTTATTTCTCGGTAGTCTCTTTACTATTTGTTCATTTTCTTAAATAGATAGCATTGCTAGTCGAGCGATCGATTTTAAATGTTTGTGATATTTAAGGCAGCAAGTTTCAAACAATGGTTTTGATTATTTCGCAACTTTCTGATTTAATAAGTCGACACTATTTTCGTTTATAATATGATTACTGTGACAAGTTGAATGAGAAAATTTATCTATGTAAAATCAGAAGGTGAAATCCCAAGGCGTATTCTCTCGTAGTATTGGAATCACACGGCGCTCTGACAACGCTATACTAAATGCCCATTTTACTTCCTTGTATTGGAACTCTCTATAAATGCATTCTTCTTCAAGTCAGTTTAAAAAAAGAGCACTCAAGTGCCTTTGAAAATGAACAATAGAAAAACAAAATGAACTACAATTGAACTCTCCAATGTATTGTTTGATGCAGATTAAAAGAAATCGCCATATAATATTGAGCTGGACCATTTCCAAATGTAAGTGTCAATAGTGATTTTCTATTGGTTATATCGTTGAAAGAGCGCAGTTCGCCTGATTCTTTAAAAATCAAAACGATCATATGAAATAAAATTAATGACAAAGAAAATTGTTGACATACGATTGTCACACATCGAATCAGTGGAATTGTTTTGGCATGAACAGTGGTTTTCTTTTGGCTTATTCATAGCTTCATTCTTGCAAACATTAATAACTTCAACTTAAAAGAAGACAACGAGTTTATATCTTGAGGGTGTGGGTGTGGGTTAGAAGAAGACATCCTTATCTACATCGATACCCACACCCACACCCCCGGTTTTATTCAGAGAAATCATTAAAAATTAGAATAGAGAAAGAGGAAAATTCATTCGATTGCAATGTCCTGATTAATATTGGTTTTATGTATCTGGTAGCGGATCGTAGCATCATGATGTTCAAGATGAGATGGCATGAGTGACAACATTTCATGATCGAATTTCAGAATAGTACTACATTGAAAAAACTAATATGATCAATTCAATTACAATGATGTTAATAAGGCTTACTTTGATTTTCTCAAATTCATACCATTAACGATATCTTCACCCGGGTAAACAGAAGGACAACTATTCTGAGTGTGGGCAAACAGATCATTAAAGAGAAGCACTGGATTAGGTGCATGCGAGTAACCACTAGCGAAAGTGGACAAATGAGTAGAAAAACATTGCGTCTGATAATAATCAGTCATTGATCCAACCTGCATTCGATAGATTGAAGTTGATAATGATAAAGAAAATAGCATGCTTACTAGTAATCCATCAGATTGCCAATTATTATTTGAGTCAAGATAGTAGCATGCAGAAGTAAAAGTTCGAAGTTCGTAGTCCGACGAGAAGTTGAATGGTTGATCGGTGATGGGTGGAGTCGATGATTTATTCGAACAGATTTCGGTAGTGTTGAGTTCACGGAAACCAATAATAACAAATCGATGTTTAGCAGTACGATTATTATTTATGAAGTATTTATGGATACCATCATCAGATATGTCTAAAATTTGAATATGAGCCAGGAAAAAAGAAAAGAGCAAGACTCACTTGAAGAGCACAATAGAGACCAATCATCAATGTTGTTAATCAGAGTGTTCAATTGAGGTTGACCATCCAATCTGAAGATCATCAAATAGTTTAGACTTCTATTACGAGGACGCATTTCGATGTGAAGAGAAACAGTCAAGTTTACATTTGATTGTGTAATATTGATCAAATGAAAGTAGAACTGATGCTTAGCGTCATGTATCAATGTGACATTATACAAAGCCATAGAGGGTATTATCAAGTTAGGATCTCGAGGAATAAAGAATTCAATTGGCTGTTCATTATCGGTATGAATAGAGATCTCCTTGCCGTGAGAATCGAGTATTGAAAGTGAAATCATTGTCGACAGACTGGTATTTACTTGACCTGGAGTAACACTGGCTACCGCAAGTGGTTGTATCATCGACTAGAAGATTTTTTATTAGATATAAATGAACAGAAAATAACTTACCCACACTGATACTGTATCACTTTGCGTTAGGTTGGAACTTAATGGAATATGAATCTGAGCACTACCAAGTGGGCTGATTCGTTTATTTGATAGAGAAGAGACGAGTGTTTTTTCTAACGAAGTGAATACTGACGTTGTATTTACAGTCGTATTCTGGCCGACAGTCAAATGAACGTTGAATGCAACTGCGATTGCTGCTAGGGTTTCGGCCACTTGCTTCGCTATTATATTTGCCTATTTGATCAAAAGAATAAGCACGATCATATTAGTGATATTGAAGTAATGTTACCGTTCGTTTCTGATGATAGAAATTTCTCTCATATGATGGTTCATTCTCTTTCATAAAAATACCTATGACAAGATCAAAATAACAGAGGTTATAGAGAGAAACGCATTAATGAAATCGATACCATTCAAATTCAAATTCAAGTACATGTCATCATCATAATCGTTCGCGGTGGCACTTGAACGATTTAAATCGAGTTCAAGTATCGCCCCCCGTTGCTGGAGAGGCGCATTGACAGCCTTTTAAAATGAATCGATCAAAGGTATGAGAACAAACCTAAAGCAGTTATCTTACACTTAGAACATTCGTAGCACATTGGATCAGATGATTACCAATATTTTCCACGTCATTAGAACTTACCAGCCTAGCCATTGATTTTAAAGTAAATGCCATGTCACGACATTTGCTAGATGCAAGCATCTAAAACAGTTTATCTACTTTGAAGACAATTAGAGAACCTCAGATCTTACAGAGGTATCTCGTGTTAGTTCATTGATTGCGTGAGTGAGAAGGGCGATAGATGATGCTTGCAGAAGAATGTTGTTCCATGTAGTTGTTGTTAAATCGTTCATACTCTTCATGAGATATTCACGAACACTGGCATCATCGTTCAATTGTTGTATGTACTGATTGAAGGTAGATGTATTCCATGAATGCGGTGACTATTTTCAAATGAACAGATTTTTCATGAACGTACAAACGATAGAGAAAACTCACCATAGGTATCTCTCGACTTCCTAATGGTGAAACAAAAATGCTTGCAATGTTCTGAATGCCTAATCTGATAATTTCAGTATTCATTTCGTTCAACACTTGTGAGACTGTAGTAGTCACTTGTCCAGTGAGAACCGAATTGTTTTTCGAGAGAAGTTCTACTAATGGATCCGTACTAGACATAGTAGAAGAGATTTTGATGGCTTTAATCAACGAATAAATACTAGTTCTAGTCGGTATCACAGACACAGCTGGTAAGTTAGCCTCGGTCATAGAATTGAATTGATCTCGAATTTGAACAATCACATTCACTAATGATGCATTACCATAACCGACGGGCAATCGAAGTTCGAATACTGAACTTATTGTGGAACCAAGTATGACACGTTGCTCAACATGTGTTGTCCAGGCTAAAACCATCAAAGATAGGAATCATCGTATTTGAATACGTACTATAGATGACCTCTAGCATCGGCAGTTAGAAAAATTACAAAGTCATACGTACCGTAGAATGAGTAGTCTTTGATACCATCTTGATCTGTCCAGTCTTTGCATATTACGGTAAATTTAGTTGTTATTGTACCGTTCGATGGAGTAATTGAACAGACCCCAGATTTAGGTGGTTGATTGATTTCAAAGTGAAGTGCACTCGAACTTTTCTCCGTCATAGACATATACACAACTTCGAAACGCCAAAAGTTTATGTTACGATATGTTAGGAACAATTGGTTAGTAGCTGTAAAATGACTTCTATTTGCACCTGAAAGAATAAACGAATGTAATATTATTGATAAGATTGGCATACTCACCAAAGAACCAAATGCCACGATAGTCATTCATCTCTGTGAACAAACTCCATTTTTGTGTGTCCGATGATGAATTCATCATTCCAAGATAGATGTTCCATGTAATATTATTTAGCAATCCTGTTTGGTTCATCAGAGATGAGAAGAGAGCTAGTTGTGTACTTAGATTTATGTATTGGAATTCACCCTTGCGTGGACACATTGTCGTGAGGTCACATCCAACTGCAATCATTTGAGAACGAGCATTTTCTACTTTCACAAGAAGATAACCGCTAACTTGCAAATAGGGATTTGCACGGTGAGTCATATTCACCATGAACTGATATGTTCGATTGGCTACTAGTGAATTAGCCATAATGGTCACTGATGATCTCGATTCAGTTGAACTGAATTGATCCGTGAAGCACGAGCAGTTGGGAGAACTGATCTCATCATTATCGTTCATCAACACAGATGATCCAGCGATCACTGACACACCATGGATTCGACAGTAATACGTATAATTCCATTTCTATTAATACAATTGTGATTCTTACATATATATGCTTGCACTCAATTTGCGCTGCAAAAGTGTCTATTGCTAGACCATGATTGATTTCATTCTACTTGCGAGCAAAGCTCAAAGAATACAAGTCATGAATATACCATTCATGTAGACTCCTATGAATAATTAGTTGTTTTTGTAGAAAATCATCCAGTGACTCTGAATCGAAATTCTCGAGTGCTCTCTCTCATAATTTGCATTGACTCAAAATTAGGTAAACATGCTATATTCCGATTGGATCCTGATTAATTTTTGTTGGTACTATATTTAAATTATAAATCAAATTAATTTTCCTAACCTCCATCCATATCGAGAAAACTAAAATATATTTTATGGATGTATTTCGTAGTCTGTTTCCGTGAAAGCAGAGTCAGATTATTGACAGAATTCAAGTAAAAAAATGTTATTTACACGGACTTACGGTTGAATTAAATTCCTTTTCATCGGGATCCTCAGAGAATCTGCCTGGATCAAGTGTAAGATATTGTTGGGGATCGTGTGTAATCATTGATGTTCCATTCGAAACAAGATTAGCCATAATACCAGTCGGAATGATCTCAATGTATTCTACTGCTGATGCAGTCACAATATGAATGTTGACTGACGATACCGTCAATTTTACTTCATAAATACCATATTCCAGCTTTTTTGCTGGAATGTGAATTTCACTGAATGTAGTAATAATAGGATGATTTAGTGATATTGAAGAAGAGCAGTTTGTAGTACAATTGGTGATCGTCCACTGAGAAACTACTTCGATTGAATCCATACAGAAAGGTTCAATATAGGCACTGATATATAATTCATCATTTCGGCGAACTTTGGTAGGATTTCCAAAAGAATTTGATTCCATAGCAAGTCTGACGCTAGGAGGCGAGCAACCTACAAAAAATTAAACATTTATCAACGAACACAAAATAATACCTTGGCAGTGCGTATGAATGCTCATTTTCTCTTCAGCAATAAACTTTTACGATAGGTGCCAAAGATTAAGAAGTAGGAATTTCCTTACCGTGTCCTAAATGCTAAACTTAAAAAATATGAATAGGTACAGTAATTTTCACTCTCATATTTCTTTTAATAAAGAACCTTATGAAAATAAATATATAAATATGAACACTGTTACAGAAAATGCTTCGTAATTTCGGTTGACGGTGTCTAATAATGATTCAAACGAGTGTTATTTTAGCATTTAGGAAATTGTAGGGGAATTTAATTCCTGTGTCGCAGTTCTTCGAAGTCTCTCCTTATTTGTAACGATTGAAATTATTTGAGAATGGCAACCAGAATAACTTTTAACAAGACTCACATGTGTAATTTGATAATGAAGATCGACAAGTACCATTATTCAAGCATGTGAAATTGCCACAGAAGTTTATCATTGATTCACAGTGAACACCTGTCCAGCCATCATGACACAAGCAGAAAAATGATAAATTAGGCGTTTCGTGACATTCTCCTAAAACGAAATAAAAGCTACTCCTCGGTTGAGAGTGAATAACGAAGATGTGTAATTACCGTGACTCAAACAAGTTTGTGGTTGACAAGTTCGATGATCAAATTCACAATGAGTACCATTAAAACCAGGTGAACATAAGCAGACGTAGCAATCATTGTCAGTTTGAGTATTTATACATGTTCCGTTGTTTTGACACGGCCTAAGCAAGTCGCATGAACTATTCGAAGTCTTGCAAGTGATACTAGTGACTGTTGAATCTGAAAAATTGCTTTGTTTAAAAAATATTGATGCTTTCTTTCTTGAAGAGGACCGGAAACAAGAATGAAATGAAAGAAAGGCTTAGTATAAACTGACTAACTGATATTTCATGGAAATCTATTACAGTGTAGGATTTCAAAGTGAGCACAAAAGAATAAAGAACATGCGCATTATTTTAGTTTTCAGTTGAAATAATTAGTTTATTTGTGACTCTGCTCGTTATTTATATGAAATGACAGATAGTGTTAATTCTGAATTTATTAACTCTTATTGTTCAACTGATTTCATCTAAACCCTCTCAGATTCTATTGGAATTTATATTGGTAATTTCATTTATTAACAAATTAACATTGCAAACATAAGATTCGTACATTATTCGAGAATAAACTTGTTCCGACTGAATTCGCTCTAAAACTTCTATGAATCGCATGGCAAAGAAAAAGTGCGTCCGTTTCAGCTAAAATTATTATGAATCAAGAAAGAATTTCTGTGCAAAGTTTGTTTTGTAATCAAAAGAATCGGCGCCCGAGTTATCACAAATCTTCTTCGTGGGTCTTTGAAAAATAGTAAAACAAGACAAAAATTTCACTTGAGGTATTTATTATTGTTCTCTAAAGTATACTAACGTAAGCACTACTGTAACAAGCCGATATAACGGCACGACTTTTAAGTTCATTTTCACTTTTAAAAATCAGTCAATAAAGGGGTCATTCAACTTCTTCACTTACTAATTTTGTGAAACACGATCTGAAAAGAGTTTTGAAGTATACAGGGTGGAAATTTGGACTCCTCCCCACAGGTCGTTGCAGAGAAGTTAATTAATTATTTTCTCTGTACCAGTCTGTGATAATTTCTAGAGGCTCCATACATCATAACACAGATCGTAACAAAGAAGCTCCACAGATCATCACTGACCGCGATACACGGATTCTGCTAACAGCTGCTATATTAATTTTAATGAATAATTTTACTCAAGACTGAGTTATCGAATTGAGGATAGTAAAATCAAAAATAAGATAAGAAACAAATTTCGTGAGTTTTCTATAGCACGCTCCCTATTTCATTTCTAGTAAAATTCGAATTCGTACAGTGAAAATTCAAGGAAACAATGAGTAGGAATCAAAACTTTGAATATATCTTCAAATTAAGGACAGATCTTTCTGGAATGAAAATCTCCGTTTGATGTCATGCTTACTAAAAAATTGGACTCAAGAAGACTAGAGAACAGTATCTAAACTAGCGAGAAAACTTGGTCCTCTGAAGCCGTATACTATGACTGTACTTTTTGACAAATTTTACGTTAATTTAATGGAAAAAAATCCAACTCATCAATGTTCAGATAGTAAATTTCTGAAAAAAATAGTATTTTGACAGTGAGTTATCAGAACAGACAATTCAAGAGCCTCACAGAAAAGAATATTCTTTTTCTGTAATATTTCTACAATGTATCGATCTGGTCATTTAACTCATCTAAAGTTGAAAGTTGAATTTAAATTACGGTTATCTATTCTGTCAACAGAAATCATCAAAATGGTTGAGGTTTCTATTAAAAAAAATAGATGCTTTTAAGGATATGAATGCTAGTTTCTAGTTAACTCATAGCCACACAGACCCTAGCTCATTAGAGACATCAACTATTTTCTACATTTGTTCAACAAATAATCAAAGACACAACATTTTAGCGGATTACAATTTTGTATCTTTCAATAGAAAACGGTCATGAGAAAAATAAAATTTAACAATTTTTTCTACAATGCTCATCTCTTTGAGAAGTATTGGGCGAAATAGTTGATGATGTTGAAGTTGTAGTAGTAGTAGTAGTAGTAGTTGTTGTTGTTGTTGAATCTTATATAGAAAAAATATTTGCAATACTTATATTCGAATCGTTGGTGATTGTCTTTACTAAGTATTTAGATGAGATCAAATAGATCCTAGCCTAGACATTATTACAGATCGATATAAATCATCCTCGACGAGATGACACTAACAGCATCGCCCTGGTTTCTATTGATGTTCCATAATTTTCAATATTTCTAACTGTTAGTCTAGATTTCACATTATTTACTAGCCATTTTGATGGTTTTGCGGGATTCAAAGTGAACCGAAATAAAGTAACTTTGATATTCTTTTTATGGAAGCGGTACAGCAATAGATTTCATCAATTCCTGGTTATTGACTTCCTTGAAAACATGCATCTTACTCTAATCAAATCATATATTGGAAATCAAAGTCCCTGCAGGAATCCTAATCTGGATTTGGATAATTGAATCAGGCAATGCTTTTCTCTACACTAATATAAATTTACGATCCATATAGTTAAGAAACGGATCGTGATAATGTCTTAAGGGGCACATATGCTACAATAAGATTGTTTTAACACAATATTTTCAATTGGAATTACCACAGAAATTCGTTGCTAAAGTAAACTTTTGTATTCGATGATTATATTCATCAGCAACAAACAGGTTTCCATGACTGTCGAAACGAAGAGCATATGCTTTATTTAACTTGCTGGATGCCAAATTTGAATTGCTATCGCAACCAACTACACACTGATAATCATCATGAATTACTCGAATAACTCGATGATTTTCATTATCAGCTATGAATAAATTCCCATCCGTATCAAGTATGATATCCGTAGGATTTTTTAATTGAAGATTGTTTGGAGTTCCATTCCCTGCTATCGTTGTTCCATTATTTTCTCCCGGTTGAAAGCTTTGAATTCGATTGCTTTTATTATCAGTCACATATAGGGTGAAATCAAGGCCAACAAATATTCCCCATGGTGTGTGAAGCTCGGTTGAGGCTGACCCTTTGGGACCAGTCCCTGCTACATTCACTATTTTACTAGTTTTGTCGTTGAGTGACATCTTAACAACTGTATCTGTTTCGTTCATAGAACAGTAGAGACTATTGTTATGGTCGATAAATAATCCATAACAGTTTCCTGGGAAATATGCTACTGAGACACTAGTGTTTGAATTCTTCAGCCACTTTTCGATCCGACCCGCTCCATTGCCATTCTCGAAATAGATCTCGTCATTGATGCCAACAAAAATGCCAGTGTGAGGTGATAGTGAAACATCTTTTTCCTCAGGTTTGGTACTGTTTTCAAACAATATTAATATTTTACTTTTAGCATGTGTAGCCACATAGAGAGTATTCTTATGATCAACAAAGATGCCTCGAGCGTTATAAACAATTAATGATTGATTGATAACAGTGATTCCATCTTGGTTCCATGTTGCATTTGGACAGCTTTTTGGGCGATTGTATGGGTTACATGAATTTCGGCCCACGGAATTTTCGGGCCGGACTTTCGGACCAATTTTATACAAATTCATTAAATTCGGAGAAAAAACGAATTTTTTTGAAAATTGGTTTCTAGATTTTTTTAGTACTGAGCAAAGCATCGTAGTGCTGAGCGAAGCGGCGTTTTTCATTCCATAGAAGAAAAACTAGTTGAAATAAAAAAACCGAATTTATACCTAATTTACATCTCAACAAATTTCGAAAAATATATCAGCAATAGTGAATTCTACATCTAAAATAAAACTACAAAATGCGCATCCTTAAGCCAATATTGAGATTACACTAGATTCGTTCGTGCTTGTTGTGGATAAACGATATGTATCTTAAAACGCCATACTATGTTCTATAATAATAGAAGTGCTGTTTTTAACAATATATTACTTCGCTCGGCACTACGACGCTTCGCTCGGTACTAAAAAAATCTAGAAACCAATTTTCAAAAAAATTCGTTTTTTCTCCGATTTTAATGAGTTTGTATAAAATTGGTCCGAAAGTCCGGCCCGAAAATTCCGTGGGCCGAAATTCCGGTCTCCCGATTGTATGGAACTACATAGAAGAAAATCTTCAGCATACAAAGCCGAACCTACTCCACTACTAGAAAAATTGCATATAAGAAAGCTAATATCATGACTCATTCAATCTACTACGATCTCGCTTCAAATAAACTTTTCTTTGGGAATGCGCCAGAAGTCATGATCAAAATTATATATTGTCTGCACAAGAAAAATTATATTAATTTCACAATTAATGATCAGGAACCAAACTAATTTCACTTCCCTATTAATAAAATATTAAAAGGGAGCGTTCATATGAATTCTTAATGAAACGAACTAATAAAATAAGAATCATGAAAAACAACCAAAATCATGGGCATCATTTTAGATGAAATAACGAGTTGAAATCTATATATTGTTTTATTATTGAAGATACTGAGTACGGCTTTTTCTTTTTACTGATAATTGAGTTGCATGATATAATTCAATCGTTTCATGTAAGATTCATACTTCAATATGAAATACACAAAGTCAAGAACTAAAACCTGTCAACTTTACAGAAAGAATATTACAGGTGCTTCTCGTACTAATGAAATGAAACTCTACAGTAATCTTAGACATTTTCTTTAAGTAAAAACAAATTTTAATAGGACAGTTTTGTTCAAAAACATCTTTTCATTTTTCCCTAAAACAAATCTTATATTAATGCTAATTTTTCTATATTCAATAAGTGACTAATCTACACTTTTGAAAAGAAGATAGACATATAAATAGAAGTCATTAATTAATGCGAGAGTGTTGCATTTCAGTTAATTAATAGCTACAGATAATAAGACTAGTCTGACGAATAAATTTATTTGCGTGAGATTTTTCATAATTATTGCCTCAATTTTTAGCGGATTGAATTTTTATGTGTTTAAACCGGAATTCTAATTATCAAGTATCCGATTAACAATAATATACTGGCAATTAAATATATTTGATCAATTTAAAAAATATGAACGTTTTCTTCGACACTTACTGTGTTGAGTAGTAGTCGATGAAGTGCTGGTTGTAGTTGTCGTAGTTGAAGTTGATGTAGGTGAAGATGTTGCTGTTGAAACAGTAGCAGCTGATGTTGTTGAAGTTTCTATATTAACAAACCGTAAACATCAATTGATTCTTGAATACTTTGTCAAACAGTTTGCGGGAATAAAAATCTGTGAAATCTATTTCAATATTGTAGACGGTTATCTTTGTTGAATTCATGGAGGACCAACTATTTATCTTCGCTAGAAATCAATGCAGCCTATTCGTAGACATAGAAATTCTTTGGCGAAAAAGATCGAAGAGCAAAGTCATGCCATAGAAATAACTGCAAATCCCAGAATTTGGCGAGAGGATTTTTTCCCATTGGAGCGAGCAAGTAGTAGGCTGCATAGTGCCCTGTTTATGCAGTTTTTTTGGAAAAATATACTCTAATCGAATAAAATTATATAATGGAAATAGAAGCCTCGACAAAATATATTTAATTTAAATTCCACTGATCGAAGGATATATTTATTTTCCAACATAATATAACATAAAATAAGCTTTCCTATAATTAAGATAGACCTTGCGATCATCCATGAAAACAAAACTAAGCCTTATAAAATATCCTAAGTTTTCTCTAAAGTATTTTTCTAGACTAGTTGCACGACAAATTGTGACTCGAGTTTAGTTCTCAATTACAATTCGCATGCAAAACATAGCATCTGCCGATCATGCCTTTGACTATATTCTGTTTTATGAAAGTATTGTCCATTATGAGTAGCCATTCGACAAATACTGAGACAACAATACTAATTTTTATCAGCCACTAAAGGATATTCTCAAGAAGTTCCCTGAACTCACACATCATATTAATGTGCGTATGCGAAGTCTTCATAATTAATTCATTTTCGATAAAGAAGTTATCTCCGGAGTACCTCAACTTTTCTTGTAAAAGTTCTTTCTCTTGAATACGAGAAGATGATCAAAAAAATGAATTGATTAATATAATAGTTAGCGAATGTCAAACATTAAACTGATCTGTAAAAATAAATGGTACAGGTCAAAACACTCTCTCATGAAAAGACATATTTTCATTCAAATGACATATCGCACTGATTTAAAGATGCGTCTTGCCATTAAACATGAAAATATTGTTCATATAACTCAAAGTTTCCCATTTCGATTCACTGTCGCATGTAACTGGGAGTACATAGCTATTTCAGTAAACTAACACAGCTAAAGAAGCAAATCGATCACTTTCTTTGATTTTAGTATTTTTACAGTAGTCACCTCAGAGGTATGTTAGCGATGTTGAACATGCTACCACGATAACGAAAATAATATTAGCACAAGATTAGAAGTGTTTATATAGTAATCCAATATCTAGATATTCACATATAAAACTACAGTGATCAAAATAATAGGCAAAAAGTGTGGACTTCAGCACTTTCGAATCCTATAGAAAAATTCCTTCTTTTTCTAGTAGGATTTTCTTTTGAAAATTGTGATTTTTAACGCTCTCATTGTATGTAGAATCATATGTCAAATCTTTCTGTAATAACATATTTTCTATAATTATCTATTTCTTTCGGAAATTGCAGGTTTGATTTCAAAAACATACTTTTTGATAATTACTGAAAATATACAATAAAACAAACAACCCTGCTTTTCTGTCAGTACTAATCAGATTGCTCAGAAAATGTTAGGATAGAGACAATGTTTTTATGCTCTACTGAAGTAAGAACTAATTTGCCTTTTAATCCCTTTTTGTTGAATGTTTCTAAATTTCTGGCCGACAGAATACAATCGTATGATGTTTAACTACTCTATCACTCTCAAACGCATTTTTTCCCCTAAAAAATGTTTAGGTTGAATATAGTTTTATTTAGTATTAGCTCTGAGGCCCAAACGTTCTTGTATACTTCCCAGTCAACTCATTAAAATATACTCCTATTTTCTTCTTAGTACAAATCGAATAGTTATTCTTCTTCAAATAGAGCGCAAAGCAAATAGTAATCAGTAAGATTTTGATTCTAAGAGTTGTGCATATGTTTTGCAAGGAAGCTTAAAAAAGGAGCTATTGTTTTTTTAATATGATTCAAAAGGGAGACAATTCAAGATGCCGGAAAAAGATAAAACTTCGCAATGACTACAAAATGGCATATTCACGTTTTTCACACTCGATATATTTATCCCCTTAAAAGAAAAAAAAAGCGTTTGAAGGTACACTTCAGTCGCCTAACCTAATTGCCTTCTTGAGATCCTTTAGCATGATGCTTTAAATTAAAGCCTATCACAAGGTTCGGTAGATAATCAATACGAAATTGTTTGAAAAAAGAATCAATTCTCAATGACAGAAAATATCGCTTATATAGAAAATGTGTCATTCTTCATAATTCACCCGTTAATTACTAACTTGGAGGGCAAAAACCGGAATGGTTTCTTGAGCAAACGCGTAATTCGATGTCATCAATAGCCAGATCATTTCCGTTTTGTTGGTTAACATTTGACAACATCAATAATACAACTAAACTACTTGTTGGTGAGAATGAAATACTATGTTTTGACCAAGTCATATTGTTACATTCTGGTATATCACCTGTACTTCTGTTTGCAATTAAATTGCCATCTTCTTTCGTTGCCCGAACTTCTAATCGAACATCTGGCTTAGCGTACTTTCGTCCCGCTATCACAACATTTGCAAAGTACGCAGAAAATTCATAACATAAACCAATACAAAGATTAATTATTTTGTAGCTGAAAAGTGGTTGATGAATATCCTCCCCAACATCGACAAGAAACATATATCCACCATTATCATTGACTGTATGATCCAATGAGTCATTGTGCCATGTGCCGACATTTCCGGGTACTTTATTTACCAAACCAAAATGACCGAATTCAGTGGGCGTTGAAAGGTTCTGCGTATGGTTTGTAGTGAAATTAAAATCAGAAGGTGTTTTATTGGAATAGGTGCTGGAACCTTCTCCAAATGTAATCAAGAACATTGATGTGGATTCTTGAGTATCCTGTTCAGCGCATTGGTCAACAGAATCTAAAGAAATTCAAAAAAATAAAGTTGAAAATCCAGAAAACTAGAAATAATGATTTCAAGCATTGAATTATTGAAACCATTTAAGCTCGTGTAATTATGTTCTTCAACACATATTCTTTCATTCTTGTAATCATCTGAATAGCTGAGATTAATGAATGAGATACAATTTATATTAGATACCGATTCAAGAGCATGGCGTCTGTATATAAATTATCGGTACATAAATCTTGATGGTCTCTAATGAGAGAACACCGCATATAATATGTTTTCGACAGTTTCAGAGATAAAAATAGCATAATTTTGAATGGCTTAACACTGTCCATGGCATGTTTGCATTTATCTTGGAAAGAAATCACAAGATTTGACAGCTGAATTCACTTACACATGCATTTCATTATTATGTTGTCAGTATTTATCAATACATCTCTGCAGAGAAGACAGCGTCATTTTCATTTCACTTCTGTAATAAAAACTTCTTTCAGAGCTTTAGTTAGGATATTAATAGTAGACGATGATCTAGAGTTCCATATTTGATAATACTTCTTCGGAGAAGGATGCAAGTAATCATTCTAAGGAGAAAGCATTCAATATTCTCTCAACGAAAGAACGTCAGACGAAATTATACAGTTGATTACTTGATCGTCAAAAGATATTTTTATGTTATGCTCAAGCAAACCCTATTAGTTAACCTTGCTGACAAAAGCCTAGACCAGTTACCTGAACAAACACGTAGTTCGATATCGTCGATGGCAAGATCATTTCCCATAGTTTCATAAACGTTTGAAACCACCAACAGCGCAGCTGAAGTACTTGTTGGTACGAATGAAATACCATATTTTGACCAACTCATATTGCTACATTCAGGTAAATCGCCTGTGGATGTTTGAGTAATCAAAGTGTCGTTTTTGTCCGTTTCCCGAATTTCCAATCGTACATTTGATTTTGCCTGCTTTGCTCCACTTTTGACAACATTTGTGATATAAGCAGAAAATTCATAACAAACACCGCGCGAAAGATTATCAACTTTGTAGTTGAAAAGTGGTTGATGACTCTCATTCCCCACATCGACTAGAAACATGTACCCACCATCATCATCCTTTGTGTGATCCAATGCACCAATATGCCACGAAGACCTATTCTTAGCAATCTTATTGACAAAACCAAAATTACCGGATTCGATAGAATCTGTATGTTGCTGACTATGATTTGTAGTGAAATTAAAATCAGAAGGTGTTTTATTAGAATCTAGGTTGGAACCATTTCCAAATGTAATTAAGAAAACTGTTCCCAATTTGTGAGAAGCATTGCCAACAGATTCTATAGAAAGAAAAAATGCAAAAAAATTGTTTTTTTAATCTAAGTAAGCTTTTCGAAAAAATCATTTCATACAGGAAGTGAATGCAGTCATTTATGCATGTGCATTTATCATAGCCAACATTTATTCTACTATTATTGTAATCTGCTGCACATACAGTTGAACGGGCAAGACTAAGGCCTAAATCGATTAAACATTTAAAAACCTAGCTAAGCGAACCATTTCATCTATGTAGTAAATATATGGCACTAAACTGCCGTGCATCCTTATCGAGTAAACTTTTAGAAAGAGGAGACGAAATACTAATACTCTTTCATAACTAAATAATATTGCGTTATCAAAATAAGTAATAAAACAAACTTCATAAAAAATGTTGATAAATTATGAATTTTGAATTCACGTTTAATGAATTTGAGGTACATAAAATATCTGGCGTTTTATGACATCGAACTTGTTTGCCACGTTACACACTTCAAAAAACATTCAGCAATAAAAATTTTGCTCACTGACAGAGATGCCTGAAAAGTAATTTCCTTTTTCAGTCCTCCTTCTTAAAAGTCTTCGATATTCATGATGATCTTCTCAGCAATCAAATCACATTTGATAAATAGGTCAGAAATGTTTTGGGATATTTACCCACTATTCCCGTCATAGTTAATAGAACAACCAATAGTTCTAGCATATCAGTTGTTGATACCATTGTTTTGTTTTCGCATAAACAAAGTTTCCAATACTATGTAAAAAATCGCAAGACTATTTCTCTTTTGAATAAGTTAATAATCTCCTGTATGAAGAGAAAATGTGAATGATACTATGTCAATCGGCAAATAATCAGAAGTATTTTTCTTTGAAATCTGAAACTATTTTATCTACATTGATGAAGTTTGCAACTGGTGAGCACTCAACCAATAATTATCAGGTTTCTACAGTCATGTCCATGTTAGGATCTCATCATAACAATTGAGTACTCATAATGATACCTGTAAACTACACATAGTTCTATATTATACTCAATGCCATTTTATCACAGTCACTTCAGTAAAATACAAAATTTAGCATTGAAATTTACAGACGATTATTTAAAATTTGAAACAGTTTCACTAGATTTATACTTTAATAGTAGAAATAAATAAATAATAAATTGATCAAAAAAATATACAATGTGCTATAACACTAAACATACGTTACCATAGAAAAATATTTTATTTAAATTGTTCAGAAAAAGATCGAATTGAAATCTTCTCGTCGCCGGCTCGTATTTCTGGCTCTTGGCAATCACATCAGAAAAAGATCAACTATAGAATATTCCAATAGATCTCGATGAATACCACAACCTATTTCTAAGGATATGCGCACTAGTGTACAAACGAGAACACTTCTGATTATAGAGTTTACATAACGTAGTTCTTCAATTATATGATTTACTTTATCTATACACCATGGTTGAAATAGAGAAAAAGAAATCATTCGTAAGAATGAAAAACATTTGAAGTGAAAATTTCAGTTGAACGTGTTTCTCTAAAAGTTTACAAACGTATTAAAATATTAGTTGCAAATGTCAATTTCTTGTTGACTTCCATGATAATTCCGCATATCAGGCTTTTATTTCAAAATTGATTCAAGTATATTTACTGTATATTCTACTATTATTATTTTGTTAGTCTCATATTGCTCTTTTTCAATATAGTACTGCGTAGTACTCTCATCTTCTTATAAATATTTCATAATCACGATTTAAGAATCTTCACTTGAATTAATTCGTAATTATGGTATTATGATTATAAAGAGAAAGAAATGTGCATTGACAACACTATTTTTCTATTTCAGGTGTGTGTGTTGATATATTATCTGCAACCACACCCTCATCTTGGCATTTTTTTAATATAGGAATTATATTGTGTCATAAGAAGTTGCTCGATGAAATAGAACGTATTTTTCTTTTAATTTTTATCAGTGGATTTTTAGCTGAGCCGCCGCCGTCACAGAAGGACTTGCAAATATCAGCCGACGCCGCCTCTGTGAAAAAAAATTTTAAGAATTTGTAGCAGCCGCCGCTGAAGACATTACTCATTCAAATAACGAGCCGCTGGAAATCTTCAAAAATTGAAAATCGGTGCCCGCCGCCGCCATTCAACCCTTCGGCTGACACCTCTAAGTATAATTGTTAGCTGACTTGTAATACTTTTCTATGTTTTTCTTTCATCATTCTTCGTAAACTTTTATTATTAACTGTATAATAACAAATATAGGGAAATTTTCAAAATTCAGTCTTTATTTTGAGATCATAAACGAAAATATTAGAATCGGCTTGAGACTTCACTTGTATTGAGTATAATCATCATCAAAGCAGTCAGACAGACAATTTAAATTAATTTGTCGAATATACTTTTATAATCGTCAAAAAGAAGAATCTATGTTGTTAATCGATGATTAATACTGTGTAGATTTCTTTTCGTATGGTAAATATGTTACGTGTAATTGCATCATATTATACAAAGAGAGATTGGGCAATTTTATTCAACGAAAATACTTGTTCTCTTTTCTGACAATGAAAGGCACATTACAATCTATGAGTCACTCACTTTGGATTTGGCAGTGTAATAAAATGTTTTTTTCTTTGATTGTAGTATCCATCGAGTCGAATACAGGAGCAAAAATAAGGTAATGCAGCTATGCTGAAGCAAAACAAAATAAGAATTGTACGTTCGAAAACATAAATTAAGTTGTAAAAAATAAAATCTCAGTTTTGATTTAAGCGATTTTCTATTTTATTCTCATTCAAAGAATCGACTGGTAAATGAAGCGAAATATATTGGCGGAAATGTGTTGTAAAGATAAATCTATGCAGATTCATACATTACAACACAACTGAAATCTTCAATAAAACTTTAATCAAGTATTTCATTTTTTTTTAGATATGTCATCATCGAAAATAATTGATGTTCTAAAACCGTTCGATTATGATGAATATCCTGAACGGTATAAATTAACGAGTGTAGTTATTGTATCAGATACGCATAGAGATCATGAAATGATGAATATTCCGGATGGTGATATTTTCCTACATTGTGGAGACTTTACAAAGAAAGGTGATTGGCGACATTTAACAAATGGTCAGATTCCACAATCTTTAATAGATTTCAACGTTTGGTTGGGACGATTGAGACATGCACATAAAATTGTTATTTGTGGGAATCATGAACGTGGTTTTGAAAATTTTTCAAAAGAAGAAATTCAATCGAAACTATTAACTAATTGTACATATTTAGACAATGAATTAATTCAAGTCGAAGGTATAACAATTTATGGTTCTCCGTACCCATTCAATGAAGATTATCGAGCAAAATGGTCATCAATTCCTTCGGATATTGATATATTAATGACACATATCCCTCCAAAATTTATATTAGATTTAGCATTTCAACCAAAAAAAGCTGTTTCAACAGACCCTTGTCCAATATGTGACGATGCAGTGCATGGTTACTATGGTCATTGGGGTTCACGAAGTTTAATAAAAGAAATTCGTCGAAGGATTCAACCTCGAATTCATTGTTTCGGACATGTTCATGATGATCAGGGCTATAAATATGATCAGCACGAAAATGGAACACTATTTATTAATGCAGCGGCGTATTTAACAAGACAAGCTTTTAAATTGAACTTTTACCGAAATTTACGAAATTATTAAAATATTTTTTTTTATGAAAATAAAATATTTTCTTTCTATTATTGTACAATCAAACCAATGTTAGTAAAAGTGAGCAAATTGTGAGTCTTTCTTTTATTCACATCCACACCCTTTAAGAGTTTTTTTTTCTAGTGCATAACCTACTCGTTTTTATGTTAATTATGTATGATGAACAACAAAACATTCGATATTTTATTCACTTTCACAACTCGTAGTTTGATAAATTCTTTTAAAGTATGCCATCGAATAAAAACAAGTTTGCATTGTTTCATTCAGAATTAATAATAAATTTTGTAATTTGTGTTTTCACCAATCAAAATATGTCATTCCTATAGAAAAGCGCTTCATCTGATGGAGACAACTAAATTATAAACATAAGTTGGAAATGTTGAAATCACAAACAATCACGTTTGATAAAAAAAAACGTTCTTTGTTTATTATGTAGTAGAAATGAGTGATATAGTAAATAAAGAACATATAATGTCATTTAGCGCGGCCAGACTCGCATCGATAAGCCATATTTAGGTCTAAAATACAGAATAAATATATAAACCTGAAGATTGACTAACACATGTGCGGACCTGATTGTGACTGCTGTACTTTGGACAAGTTTTTGGCCCGGTACAAGTTCAAAACGAAATTGATGTAGCAGCAGTGTCAACATAATTTTAGTTTCTAACATGGCAAAATTTTGTCCAATGCATGCATGCGGTCCAGATCCAAATGGAAAAATAACATTTGAGTTACGTTGAAGAAATCTTAATGGATCGAATTTTTTCGGTTCACGCAGATACTTTCCCGAACTAGGGAAACCAGATTATCAAAAATGGTGCATTCATAAATCATGAAGCCCAGCAACTTAAATTTTAGTAAGATTTTATTTCTCTCCAAATTATCTATTCATGACATTCAAATTCATGGCGATATCAACTCCTTTTCGGATACGAATCTGTTTGCCATCACTAGCCACAATGATATTGTCAACAGTTGCTGTTCTATACAAAAAAGGTGCAGGCTGATGAGATCGTGAGGGTTGTCCAATGACTGAGGATTAGGAATTCCTCATCAGTTCTCCTACAGTTCCTTGCGTACTAAAGGTAAAAAGATGGAATATTCACGATAATTTTTGTTCTTACACTTATTTTCACTTGCAAATTTGTGAGAATCAATGAGTTTATGCAAAAATTATTTTTAAAACAGCAATATCGCGACTATCGTGAATGGTGGAACTGTGAGGGAATCTATAGTTGATTCCCATTTCCTCTAGGAATTATCACAGCGACACTGGCAGTTCCTTGGCACATTAGGAGTTCCTATTTCTCAGTCCTTGAACACTGCTGAGTGAAAATAGTGATTTTAAGTGATTCCAGTAGTGGATAGGTTCTACTTATCTGACTGAAAAGTGAAAGAATGTATGGCGGCTTTTGTAGTTTTATAGATTGAATTCTGGATCAGAAGTAGTGGTGGATCTACCAGTTAGGCTATCCGGCGATCGCCACTCTCCTTAATATTTTTTTCGGTTTCCCCCAGCAGAAATGAAACAGAAAATAGTCGTTCTGCCTAAAATAGACTGGAAAAGGCGTTTTTTGGCCAGGAGCGCCACCCTCTAACATATTTTCTGGATCCGCCACTGATTCAGAAGATGAATGAGTTACGGTATAATATATAATGATTCATCTCTGACCGAGAGGGTTGTTTCCGGAGTTTCTAATGGAAATTTATAAGCAGTATCTCACAAGTTTTTGAACCATGCATAGATTTCAGTTGCGCAATGTTTAGTTTCGTGTAATGACAACCATAGATCGCTTCGGGTTTGTGTTCCGGAGTGGTTCAACTTCTGTCAACACATTTTGTCTTAAAAAGTTCATTTGTTACATTTCAACAAAAATTGTCTGCTATTCTGCCCAAAATAAGATTTGAGAGAAAGAGGAAAAAATAAACATGATAAGAGCATTGATATTCAGTAAGCATTATTTTGCTACATTGTTATGGAAGAATTTTGTGGTACAATGAAATGAATGAATTTTTTAAAGATTCAATTAAATCAGCCAATGAATTTTGATAGAAAAAAAAATTAAAAGAAAGTATTTTATAACAGTAAAAAATTTAAAAAAACATTTTGTAAATATATTGTTACTGAGTGTTTTAAATCATCTTTTAATTGAATTGAATGATGATCAAAACCTAAAACGAGGTCGTTTACTATCGTTCGCAACGATCGTATGCGACCGTAATGTAAATTGTATAGGATCGTTTAGGGCGGTCGTAACGATCGACCTGGTACGTATTTTTAATGCTACAATTGTATCTCCCTTGTTCAGTGTATTTTAAGCATCATATTCAAAATTCATTCGTTTGTGTATCGAGTCATAAATTGAAGTAGGAAATTTTTTCTTTTTTTTATTATTCTACAGAATTGTTTGCTTATATTTGCATGAGTTCACAGGCAGTTCGACTTACGTGTTGCGCATACAAATCGGAATGAAGACCACGGTGGGTGTGATTGAATTGAATTTGCATCCGTAACCCATTTAGAATTGTTAATTTTATCTCTTAATCAGGAAACACGTTTTGATAGGATTTTGTACATATTAATATGAGACTATATCCTGTTAAATACAGAAAAGAAATGATTTTTGATGTAATATATAAACGAATACTGAATCAGTGGCACGAAGTCGAAATGATGGTCAATAATCTAAACAGAATTTTAATGGTTTCCCCTGTTACAGTTGACATGAGAATTCACTTGAGATTGGAGCAGAAGATTTAATTAAAGGTAGAAAAAATAGACAAAAAAAGAGCAAAGGAAAAAAATAGAATTTTCAAAAATCAAAATTCAAAAAAAGGTATATAAGCGATATGGAATTCTTTTCTATGAGTTATATTTATCAAAGTATTTTCTAATTGATCATAATTTAGATTTCTTTTTTAAATTGGTGACCAAAACAAAAGGAAAATTTTATTTCTTACTTTTCATTTATCTCAATGCGCTCTCATCAGAGACCGAAATCGAATCGAATTTCCGAGTAATTCGATTCGACTGGGACGAATCGAATCGACTCCGAATAGAACTCCAAGCTGCCGAATTGAATCGAATCGAATCGACTCCGAATAGAACTCCAAAACTGCCGAATCGAATTGAATCGAATTAATTTATTTTGAGGTCGAATCGGATCGATTCATTTTCTTCAGTTTCACTCGGCTATTCAAAATCATTTTCTTTGTTCTGGTGTTATGGTCGAGGGCAGTTGACTAGTATAAGAGATGACGCATGAAAAAGGACGTCCACTGTTTCTCTTTCTTTGTCACGATGCGAAGCACTGTATAGCAATGCTTGGCGAAAAATTTTCAATGCGGTGCGAAGCAGAAGCACTTCTGTAGTCCGTCCCGTACGCGTCCAAATTCAGTATTATTGCGGCGCGATGATCTCAAGAGCGGAATTTCGTCTGATGCTCGTTGAAACGGTGTTAGTAACATTAAAATCTCTATATCATACAAATTTTGTCCGATTCCTCCTGTCAAATTCGGTTTGGGCAAAGTAAAATATGGATCACATATTTCAGTTAGTCGATGCGATGTACTGAGACTTGGCCTTCATTTACCCATAATTAAAATGACGTCATAAGCAAATGCTAGCCACACGTATGTCTGCCTGCAGCTGATTACAGATAATGAATCATACAGATAATTAATCAATCAATCGAAATCCATCCTTAAGAATATATCGCTAAGTCAGAATAGAGTTTTCTCAGTGATGACAACCATTATGGCTACATAAAAAGTATTCAAGATTTCTTCGAATTGAAGATTTTTCGCGAAGATACGATTCGTGTTTCGCATCGCATTTCGTATTCGAGTGAAACTTGAATACAATCTGTTTTTTAAATTTTTAATGCGATGCAAAGCAGAAGCATTTATGTAGTCCGTCGCGAGTTTTTTTTAATCTTTTTTACTTACTTCATGTACGGATCACAAGTCGTCGTTTTCTGACGCAATGATCTCGAGAACCGAAAATCGTAGAAAACGCGTTGAAACACGAGAGATCGAAGTATCAAGATCGAACTAAGAACATCTGTTTTCGAATCTTCAATCTGCAGTTTCGTTCATTCATAAATGTGCTTCCAAAAGGACGAAAATGAAAGAAATTTATCAAGAGGTAATTAAAGTGACGTCATGAACATATGTTAGCCACTATAGTCTATTCATTTACAGCTGATCTAATATAATGAATCATAGAGATAATTAATCGATCAATCGAAATCGATCGTTAAGAATGTATCGCTAAGTTAGAAGAGAGTTTTCTCAGTGATGAATTTCATCATGTCGACATAAAAAGTATTCAAGATTTCTCTGAATTGTAGATTTTTCCTGGATCGAGATTCCTGCTTCGCATCGCATTTCGTATTCGAGTGAAACTTGAATACCATCTAGTTTTTT